ACAGCTTTGTCTGGCCATGCAGTCGCATAGCTTTTGTGTTCGAAAAGTCTTTGTTGTTTTTGGTGTCGCAACATTGGTTTGTTATCGCCTTATAATGTCGGTGTCGTTCTGCGAACGTGTATCCTTTATACTTTCTGTCGATATTAGTTATTGCGTGTTCCGCTTAATATATTATATATCCGCTTACGTATTCGTAAGACCCACGAGAACGTTAGCAATTTGTTAGCCTTCTAAATGTTACCTATTTGCTACCTATATAATGTTACCTATTTGCTACCTATACATGGCTAAATATATTCTGCCGGTGCTAAGCCCTTACCTATGTACAATTTGCACATAGCGCATTTATATCCCGACTATCGGTAAATTATATTGACAATATTTTTTTGGTCTTAGCCATTGCCATTGAAAAAAGTAAAATGGCTTATGAGATGCTTCTAGGTAATAGAAATCAAATTTTTATATCATTGTAATAAACATTATCATGCAAAATCACCCAGATGTTCATCTTTTTATTAACGTATATTTGGGGCAGAGCCGTCCATTTTATACATCATTTATATCATATGCGCCTGTAAATATTATCTGCCAAGTATTTCATTGAACGTACGTCGCCTTAAATATATCGTGGCAGGATTGCGGTGGTTGTTCTCTAGCTCACGATAAGCGTTCCTATAAGAGTTCCTTGTGACCTACTTGGCCAAGTGACCCTTGACTTCCCGACCTTCGACCTCCCGTCGTGGTGCAGGAACCCCAGTCTCTTATAAAACTCCTTTATCGCCCATTGCTCTTCTCGAGGTTTTAAAAGTGGAAAACACACTTGCCATTCAACTCATCGTATCGCAATTAACACAATAAAAAAAAAATATCTTCGAAATATATTCGTGCCTTTGGCGTAATGACTTAATTTGGGTATGAATGCCTTGGATATCCGTGGCTTTAGATTTGTAGTGAGAAAGCGGACAGGAAGTAGTTATCTTCCGTAAAAGTGTTCGTTTCTTGCATGCACGTGTTGTTTTGTATATTCGTGTGCACATGAACCCCCTGTATTAATATTCAAATTGTATTTATTGAGACTTGCTCTGGAAAATCAGATGTAGTGTGTGTGGTTCCAGAGCTGCTGGTCACGTAAGAGTCAGGCGGCATGACTCAGCGCTTGCCTGGCCCTTTGAAACCATCACGTCTTCAAGGCGGCATTCGTGGCAGCGCCGTGTGCGCTCTATAGGGATGGGGACCTCAGTTCTACCTTCATCTAGTTTAGGCCCCAGCTATTGCCTTTGTACATATAGATAAATACTTCACTAGTTATTTATAATTATAATATTTAAACTTAAGTTGATGACCTTGATTCGTTAAAACGCTTAGCTGAGACCTATCAGAATTTATATACAAGTTCAGTTGTTAAACGTGAGAAGAACAAATCATTAACTGCACGAACTACCTGAGAACAATGTGTACTCGAGTGATAATGTGTGATTAGCGTGCTGGTACCGCTGAAACGTGTGCTTGAACTGATCAAGTCTCACTTCCTATAATTGAGGCCGTTGTACATGCAGACGTATGGATCGAATGCTAGTTCGTTCTGACGACCAAAACCACATGTAAAATTATGAAATTATAACTTGGCATGCTCACCAAGATACATTCAACTCCTCATATTCTTCATTTTATTTTTTACTTAGGCTTTAATCTAGAATGGCGACAAGTAAACTTGCTTCCGCCTTTCATCATTATTTGCAATTGACGTACTAAGTGCGACATTTTAAAAATCATCTTGTATACTTATTTCTCAACTGCACATCCGTCGAATTGTTCATTAGTGCTTTTAGTATATCATGTAGGTATGAATATTACATAGAATCTCTGCTGACCTCATCATGTCCATCTGTTCTTTGATCGATATATCTCGATCAAAGCTTGTGGAAACAACCAGCTTGTGGAAAGCAGTTTTTTTTTGCAATTAGTCATTTTCCCGTGGCCCCAATTTCAACCATTTAATCAAAGAATAACCGAATTTTGGGGGATCAAGATCATTTATCTACTTAAGATAACTCAAGTTGGTGGGTCTTTTGATACAAGTAGCGTTGAAAACAATTAATATATCCTTAAGAAAATGAATTAAATGCTGACACGACGCGAGCTAGAGACCTCTTGCTCGCTCTTCGGCATTTCCTTCGGTGTCGAGACAAGCTGTAATTCCAGGCTGCTTTCTGGGCTTCCTGTGTGTCTTCCTGCCGACAAATTCCGATGACCTAAAAGTCGAATTGTGTGGCAGCTTTTTGGAGTTCTCGCCAGCTTGTTGCTACCATAGTACAGAACATATAATTGAATATAAATTTATTGATATTTTGAAGCCTCCTTGAATTCCAGTAAATTATTTCGGTCGGTTAATAACTTATCGGGTTGTGTTGAAAACGTATGCATGTGTGTGTGGCGGATTATTATATAAAAATGCGTAGAGTTTATAATGTATTTATTTTTTTATTTTACTGCACACAAAAGGTCCAAATCTCCGCATCACAGTGCTACAATTTATTCCTTATATGACAGGACTTCATATTTATTACAGGGCTTTAGATTAAGTGTTGGATAAAAATCTTCATTTCGACAGACTTGAGTTCAATATTTTGTATAGGTAAGTACACAGCTCATGTGTCGAGCTATTCAATGCTTCATACATAGCTTTTAGGCTTTTACACAACTCCCGAACGTGCTCAGAGTACGTAATTGATCCTCAGGTTATAATTTGTTACTTTTTATGATTTCATACGAATCTGTGCATTGTCCTTCGTTTACACACTATTTTACCCGCTTAATTTTTACTATAAATTCTTCACGACTCATCGGTGATTTTAGACCAAGATGTCCAATGGTGGCGTGTGGTATATGCGGCCTGACGAGTTTTTGCGTTCTATTCCGATAGCTCAAAATAATCTACTAGTACAAAATAGTCTGATTAATGTAGAGCAGACATTTCACATCCTATGTGTTCAACGTTATATCACGAAGTAATTATTTTGACTATTATATATTGGTTGAATTCGCATTGTGCCAGTGTGCTGTCGTTAGATCGTTGTTCATGTCGTATGATATCTATTCTAGTTATCTTATCTTCAGTATATTGTTCTTGGGCAGTGCCTTATCAGCGCGAACATTAAACTCATCAAATGCTGTGGATTCTGCCAGATAAGGTCCAAAATGCGCTCTGATTCATGATTTTGGAATTCAAACTCCTCTCATATTTTGATCCATCGTATGTTCAAACATTCTTATATTTTTTATTTCTTTAAAGTTACTGTATATAGCATGTTAAGCCTTCGAAAAATGCTTGAAATAACTTGACAAATTATCGATATATTCTCCCTAATTGAATCTAACATTTTATTACTAAAACATAATGTGTGGGTATAAATTAGAAAGGGAGAAGGGAGAAGTTTAGCATAGCGCCGAAAATCTTGCGGTTCCTAGACACTCTAGTGTTGGGGCGCTGGTAACCTGCCACTGCGGTGCAGGTTTTTGTGTGTCATCGCAGCGGTTGAGCTGGCTCGGTATATACCTGATTCCAAGCAGGCACATCTCGCTTGCGCAAGCTCAGCCCGGCCTGTATAAAGTGTGTGTATATATAAGAGCTGACGTTACGTCGCGCGATGATTGTTGAGGCCCTGCGGTAGTACATAAAAACATTGCAACACTGTACGATCACTCGAAACTAGAGGAAGACGATCAGTATAGACATCAACGGTGTTAAGAAAATTAGTTCTTACCTCGTATAATTCTCGTCAGATAGCCTTACTTAACAACGTTGTAGTCACACATATAGTGCAGGTACATTCGTACCTATGCAGTTCAAGAAGGTTAAAGTCATGGCCTGTAATTCGTCCACTAATTGACGGCTAAATTACCTGCTGTATTCTTGAGAATTTTTCTTGATTTTCGTTCAAATCCAACAACAAATTAAAGTAAAAATAACAACTCTTGGGTTGATGGATGGTTACTTGTGATCATCATTTTCTGATTACAAAGAAGCGAAACTGAGATAAGCGAATGATAGAAGTTAAGAGTTACGTCATTTCTCAAAAGCTATTAGCGGCCTTGTTTGTGTAATACCTGCAAATTACCGGCAAACTCGTCACATTAATCGCACACTTAAAACCTAAGCGTGACGTCAGTGCCGTACGTCACGCTAAATAAACTCTTGTCGTCACAGCACAGGTTCTCCTCGCGTAAGGACCTAATTGCCTCTATTCTTCTTGCCTGTTACTATGTATGTCTTCCGCTCTCGGCGCGGTGCCTCACTATATACATAATAAGGTCCTGTCGCTACAGCGCACGGCGGAGAGCGCAATTATCGGGGTGCCGTGTCGTGGTGGAGGCAGCATCCTGCCTTCCCTTATATTGTCTCTACTTAGCTTTAGTTCTGAATTGGAAAAAATATATTTAAAGAAGTTATTATATTATGAGTTATAGTTGCATATATTGACATTCAAACTTGTTGATGCATTTTGAGATCGGGTTGCATATATTTTGAATTCAAACATGATATTTCATTATGAGCTGGACTTGCATGTGTTGACTTTCATATATGTATTCATAACATTAGTCATGTACTGTATTCATAACATTAATTGCGGTTTAATGACGATTGTTACGAATTGTCTTATCAATCTGATTAGTAAATGAGCTTCAAGGATATATATCTGCTTGGCCCTTTTGAGAAATTCGGGCGTTATGCTAACAACTAAACAACAGAAATAACTGAAATTAGCGTTCCAGCAATGATCTCTGAGAAAGGTACAAGAAGTAATTCATTGACGTTTTCTGTCACTTGTAATCTATTTTGCACAATAAAACCGTTCACCTTTCGCTGGATTTTCTCTTTCACTGAGACATTGACTTTATTTTATCTGTGTTTATCTAAGCGGAGCTATATACTCCAAATTATTTTATATGCTCAAAGCTGAGCTATGCTTTTGTATATGAAAGATTTGTTTTCTTTACAGAGAAAAGCGCTGGGACAGGAGCTGTGCGAGCGCGTCTTCTGCGAGCTTGATATTATAGAAAAAGATTATTTTGGTCTCCAGTACACTGATCACAATAACGTTTCGGTGAGTCCGCTTCTTCAATGCTCTTATTTACAATTATTCCTATTATTAGTATTACTTTAAATGTAAATATTGCATCATTAGTGATTGAAAACTGTCGTCAAACTTTCATCGTTAATTAAGATATTGAATTAAAGTATACCGTATAAAAGTATATATATATATCAAAATATATAAAAAGTATTGAATCATAACAAACATAAATGTATTCGTATGCAATCGCTTGTTAAATGTAATTTTAGAATATTTTTTGGCATCTGATCCAACAATTTTTGCATGGAGTATCAAACTCACCAATTAATTATGTTTTATTATCTTACATGAAAAAATTATTTGGCACTCATCAGTGTCTTTCCATCAAGAAATTTGATGTAATATTCTGTCCATTTCTTCATCCACAGCACTGGTTGGATCCATCAAAACCCATCAAGAAGCAAGTCAAAAGTAAGTTTATCCATCGAGTCTTCATGAGTTTGTATTGACGCTTCTATCGGAATTAACACATGTTTAGTTAGAGCTGAGTTCTGTAATCGATGGATGCCTCCTCTCGCTGCTATAATCGTCTTTTATTTGCGTTTAATATCTATAATGCTCTAACGATTCACTTCCAAAACAACGTGAATATTTAAGCCGTAAAAACATTGCATTCTTCAAATCTCTTTTTTTATATTAGTCGAGGTTGCATTACCTCTGCACAAGAGATAGTTATATTATTATGGAATGTGCATGATGGAGTCTGGATTTCGAGATTCATTGTTATTTCTTTTTGCCTTATTTGCTACATTTTCACTCAATACTACAATTTCCATTTACTTCATTTTCACATTTTAACGATTAACTTGTTCGTTTTGCATATTATTGATTTACGATTATAAATGGACCGTCGAACCCGAATTTATATACTATATGGTACAGTCTTGTTTCCATCAACTCATGTCATTCAGGGAAACTACGATTATAAATGGACCGTCGAACCAGAATCTAAATACTATAGGTACACAGTCTTGTTTCCATCAACTCGTGTCACTCAGGGAAACTCGCACCGGAATAGAACAACTGCCATACAGAGTAACGACGCTGGGAAAGCGTCTCGTGTTCGTCGTGACTATTATCTTTATCATTGTTTGTTATCGTTGTGACGACTGACTTGGCTGCCGATTGAAGAGCTATAATAACGATCATTCTTCTATGAATATCTCAAGAGTAATCTAGATTTTTATGCTTTGTGACGACTAGCGTTTGTCACATGACCTCTACACGTGTGTCTTGTGCTGATCTCATCGTAGGACCGCCACTTAAAAAATGTTCTTAGACGTTTGAATATATCTTTGTTACTCAAGACCTCAAATAGAATAGCACAGCCAAACTGCAAAGAATATCACGAGTTTGAATAGCACAACCATGCAAAGATTATCACGAGTGCCGTGGCGAAGATGTGTGCATGGTATAGCCACTGCATTTCAGTATCGTGTACGAAAGACACTTCATATAGACAGTGTAAGAGTTCACTATATAGTGGCGTTATGCTAACTGTGTAGTACAGTTCCTTAGTGTACGGGAGCCTGAATGTTAACAGTGTAGTACAGTTCCTTAGTGCACGGGAGCCTGAATGTTAACAGTGTAGTACAGTTCCTTAGTGCACGGGAGCCTGAATGCTAACAGTGTAGTACAGTTCCTTAGTGCACGGGAGCCTGAATGCTAACAGTGTAGTACAGTTCCTTAGTGCACGGGAGCCTGAATGCTAACAGAGTAGTACGGTTCCTTGGTGTACGGGAGCCTGAATGTCCTGGTCGGGTGCTGAGAAAGTTCTATGTATTTAGGCTATAGCTTGGCCGCTGGAGATGAGATGAGGAAGAAAGAGTTCAGACAAGCTCTCCCGCTGCAGCGCAATGAGCAGCACGTGCAAGCAATAATTCGCTCCATAGTACAAGAGCGAAACTCCATCGCAAGCCTAAAAGATAAATAATTGATTTTTTTTAATAGAGCATTCCTCTGTTGAAAACTAATTCAATGAGTTTTTTTTCTCACGCCTTTAACGTTTATGATACTTTTGGCTATAGGTTCAATCGACGCTAAACCAAATACTTGTTAGATTTATATTCCAGGAAAGTTTAAATAACGGATGTATCTGTTAGCATGAATCTTATCTACGATAACAAGGTAGGATTTTCTCACGAATTCTTCGGATGCCAGAAATCGCTTAAAAATTCCTTTGCTTTCTGTTAACTGTCAAGGTATCACTTGATGGTAAAAGTTATGATCTCAATCCCGTTTTGACATTTTTTATTGAAAACATTAATCCTTTTTCGTAATTTTTCGCATAGGTACTCTTTTTGAACTTGCTTCATTGATATTTTAGCCAATAATTTTCGTTTTTAATCCAAATATTCAATGATTATTTTAGATTCTTATAATGCATGAAACTATGCTTGAATTTGATTTGTTTGTTTATCTACATTAATATGTGATTGCTATTTATATTCTCATCATTACTTCTCTCGTGTTCTGCCTTATTGCTTTGAGCATGCAGTATAATACCTACCTAGTCTTGATGCGATGCCTTGAGCATGCAGTGCAGTAGTCCCTATATGTGATGCATACATTATAGCCGCATGTATTTTCTATATTTCTCTGCTCGTCCCCACCGCTGCAGGCTACGACGACGATCATGCCTCCCCAGAAGATGAGGATGAGGGTAGGCTTGAATGTTTTCGCTGGTTGCGGGTAACACTATTCACCAACTCAATTCAAGTATATTCATCAACTCTATTCACGTTTATTCACCGCGAGGGCTTAATTCTCAACTTTCTTCCCGTGTTGAGGGGGCTGCCTGCCGGATAAAGATGCACGAATAATTTAATTTAAAGTATCAATTTTGTGGGAACTTTTGTCGCACCGAGACTTCTTCACCCTTGCTCAACCGGGATGTCGAAGGTCCAGAATATTGACTCTTGTGTTTCAATCACGACACTTTCTGGCACAAACTGCGTGTGAACTTCTTTCCGTTGTGTTAATTGCACGTATGTGTATGTATAATTCTGCACTTCCATATGTTGCTTCTATCCATGTTTCATGGCTTCTTCTCATCCGTTTCCAGTTGGTTTTGTAATGAAGAATCGTACTTGAGGGAGGGCACACTCGTGAAAATCAGTTATGAAATTAAAAAAATTTTCTTCGATATCGAGAAATTGAACACGCCGTGTCAGTATTCCACAAGCAAATGATCATAGTTAGCACAAAGTCATAGGGCCACTTTGCACAAATGGAATTGTTCCATTTTTTAATGCATGTATGCACCCACTGCACACTTCTTGGAAGTCATAACCAGGTTTGAACTCCGCACGAACACCCGACACTTCATATTTACAGAGTTGCTACTTTCAATTATAACTCATCCTTGACACTAAATCGTGAATATGGTAGAATTTCATTAGGATGTACCGTGCTATATAATACTGCTGATGTGTTTGTGATTACTTTAGCCTTCCGTGGTACAGCACCATCTTCATTTGCATTGGAACCTTGTATTATTGCATCAATCAGATGCGCTCGTGGCACTTCTTTTGGCCTGGCAGGGCTGTCATTTTGTAAATAGTTTCATATGCTGCAATTTTGAACGTCACAGGGAATGTGTGCTGCAGTAAAAGCTAACTACACTACCAATTTTTTACTATATGTCACATCCTAGCTGTTGTGTCAGTGCATGAAACCTGCGTTGCGTTACCAGGTATTATTTTTCAAGCCCATTGATTTTAAGTGGGTTTTTGGCGTGTTTCACAGTTAATTTTTTGCGTAAATTTTTTATATAACTGTGGTTTGTTTCGTGTGCATTAAATGTGTTTCTCCTCGAATCAATTTAATATAATTTTTCTGGAAAAAAGGCTATGCATTCAGTCAGATGATCTGTATTTTGTTCTACGCAATATTAATGGCTCTATTTATTCATAAATTCATTCTCTGGATATGTGAATTAAAAAAGTACTGCATGTTAGCTTTCACTTGTTCCTCTAATAAATATTATGATAAAGCCTTATTATTCACTAGCATTTATTATTTCGTAATTATTACACCTTAATTTTTCATCCGTCAAATAAAAAATTCATATATTTCATTTTTTGTTGAGCTTGCGTTATCTTGTTGCACATGGAGCTACTATTTGTCTTCATAAAACAAATTTCTCTCACTACTTTGCACTCTGTGAAAAATCTTTTCAGTGGCTTTCAATTTCGAGTCATTAAAAATTTTCAATTTTGTGTCACTGACATAGATAAAGTCCAAAATATCTCTTATTATGTTAACCAAATATTTTTGTAGAAAATAGTATTTCTCATAGCCGAATGGCTTGCTATTCTGCCCCACTTTCTGTTGAGGATAACGGCCGTGTCTCTGATTGCTCCCACAGTTGGCTTTCCGTACTGCTTCAAGTTCCGTGTCAAGTTTTACTCGTCCGAGCCTAACAGCCTACGGGAGGAGCTAACGAGGTGAGCAACGAACTAATTACTACATACCTATCTATGATGTATTTAATCAATGTATAGTTTTTCTTTCTATACCTACTTTTACTTCCTTGCATCCTTACCTTATCATGTTAACTATTCTTCTATTTATTATTTGAGGCGTATCGTGAAGTATTTCATTTTAATCATAGTGAAGCGTTGATATGCAATAGTTAAAAAAAATTGATTTCTATTAAACTAATTTTTATCGTCGGGTTTTACTTGCAGGTATCAATTTTTCCTGCAACTGAAGCACGACATTTTCAGCGGTAAGCTCGAGTGTCCATACGAGACGGCCGTCGAGCTTTTCGCCCTCACCCTCCAATGTAAGTTTCTGGACATTACAACCTATGCAATACAACATCTTACCTCTGATATATTTTTTAGTGCAAATAATGCTGTTCTGTATATGCCAACTTCCAATATTTTTTTTTGGTGTGATGCACAAAATATACAGTTGAATTTTTTTGTTGTAACCACAGCGTAAAGATGTAAGTTATAAAATAATCTACGCGAATACTTTCTGCTTTGTATTTGACCATATGCCATTAGTGGGAAAAGATGTTAGTTAAAAAATTATCTACGCGAATACTTTCTGCGTTGTATTTGACCATATGCCATTAGTGGGAACAGGTAGAATAATTTGTCCAACTCATAATTACTGCCCATGCTTGGATAAAATTTGTGCGTTATTCACAGCGGAATTGGGCGACTTCGACCCCGAGGAACACACTCCAGGCTTCGTTTCGGAGTTCCGCTTTTACCCTTACCAGACCGAGGAGATGGAGGAGCACACGCTCGAGAAGTTCAAGGAGCTCAAGTGAGTTGCTTATTCTTTCATGTCTCATTTCGATTCAATTTATTATCAGAAATAAGTAGGGGTTCGTCTTTCGTTGTATCTGATAAGCTTTTCTGTTCGTCTGACTAGTTTTTTTTATTGCTCTGTTGTATAAACGTGACAATTTCTAGCGTTTGAATGCTTAGCGTCGTTTCGTATCAATTTTTGATGTTGAATAAACGGATTATTTTTTTTTAAATCCTGGTACATGGACTCGCGTTAGCCACTGCATTCGCTCGAACTGTAATGCATGCAATCATCTGGTTCATTAATTTTCATACTGAAACCAAAACTCACAACTCAGATGCTACTGAACAAAAATCTTTACTCCGCCATTGCTCCGTGGTTCGCAATAGGTAATTTTATTTGCGATATTCTCCCAGTATCTGAACGTAAAATGCACCGTAAACTATTGCAAGACATACATTAAAAATATTTTTAGTGAGGCAGTCTATCATAAGTTAGGAATAATCCAGCGCTTGCTAATTTGATGTGCCTGTCATCAATTTCAGGGGCTTGACACCGGCACAAGCTGAGAGCAACTTCCTAAACAAGGCCAAAGGCTTGGAGATGTATGGCGTGGACATGCATATTGTGCTGGTGAGAACATTTATGCTGTTGATCAATTCTAATTCATACCTGCCCAGCTGTATAGTATTTTTCGTTAACTTCCTTCGTTGCCTTCATAAGTCATGGGGGAACAACAGTTCCCCCGCAGACATGGGGAACAACTTTCGATAATTACGTTCTGTATGTACCAATTTGATAAATAAGGTGACGACGAAGCGATACCAGTTATCACGTGCCTCTTGTCAATATCCTTCTTTAGTAGACAAGCGAGAAAACGCTTCTTCCCTTCTCAGTTGCTTAGTAAACCTCTAATTTTAGATTTTGAGCGGCAAAAATATCTACCTTCTAAGATCAGTCGTAACCTGGTATTAATTGGGTTAATTAATTTAAAATTTTCCCTGGACAGGGCAAGGACGCATGCGAGTATCGACTTGGTCTCACCCCTACCGGTATCCTGGTGTTCGAGGACGATCAAAAGATCGGCCTCTTCTTCTGGCCTAAGATCACTCGGCTCGACTTCAAGAAGAAGAAGTTGACGCTCGTTGTGGTCGAGGATGACGATGACCAGAGAGAGCAAGGCTTCACCTTCGTCTTTAGGTAAGCAGTCAACGCGACGTACACTCGCAGTAGAATATGGTCGGAAATTCCTCAAATATTTTCCTAAAATCTCTCACGATAAACCCTTATTCCATGTAAATGCCGCTAAAGAGGTAAAAAAACTCGCGGGTATTTTCCTCCCAAAAAATAACATGACATTCACAATGAAGAACATGATAATATTGTTGTTTGGTAATATCAAATTGCTAGCTCTCCGTTCTCAACTTTTCGTTTTCCCGCCAGATTACATAACGAGAAGGCATGCAAGCACTTATGGAAGTGTGCAGTGGAGCATCACTCCTTCTTCCGTCTTAAGGTCAACACTAAAAACCCCTCCAGCAGGCAAAACTTCTTCAGGATGGGGTCCAGGTTCAGATACAGGTAAGTGTGCGGCAAAGAGATGATCACCGTAAATCTCTGAGTCGTGATATCGAAAGTGTCATACAATGCATCTCATCTGGAGAGTCTACGGATGTTAAGTATTCAAATTAAAGGTAATCAGTACGCTGGTGCATAATAGGCTTGTGAAAAAAGTAGGGACTGAATCATTTATGTACTCTGCTGCTACAGACAAAGCTTACTTGCTCAAGCCTCTGATTTGGTTACTATACTATGAAAGACTTGTGCAACGTCACGAGCTCATAGTCTGCGTGCCTTGATTGTCGTGTTGACTCGGAATCATTTGAACTTCTGCAAATACCAAATTATACGTTTATAACTAGTACTATTCGATACTGAATTTCTACTGAAAATTCATTGTGTAATCGACATTTTACCTGAACCTTTTAAATTGATCTCAACTGTTGAGTACCGTCTACCATAGGACAAATTACAATTCAAGTAAGATACACAGCCCAGTATACGATTATGTTTGCACACATATTCGATTTGTTAGGTCAATTCCCGTATTCGATTCCTGCTCCTGCCTTCATGATTGCCGTTAATTTATTGTAATGTGTGTGGTGCTTTGGCATTTATTGTGTAGTTGAAGCATGTGTGTAACAGAAACAAATTGGAACATGTTGCAAATGAACTGGGTTCTGAAACTTTAACGCTTGCAGCGGACGCACGGAGTTCCAGAACACGTTGACGCAGCGCGCTCGCCGCACTTGTCAGTTCGAACGTCGTCCGAGTCAGAGATTCGCGCGCCGCCAGAGTCACGTACTACGGGAGAAGCATCGACTCAGGAGAGCTGACTCTGAAGCTGGTACTGAAGGTCAGATTCGTGACTATGATCTGGTTTGCGAGTCAACGGTTCTTAATCGACATAATTTTTTTAAGTTAAAGTTGGAGATCCTGCAACTTCCGCTTGGTGTTGGGGAATTGATGTTAGATTCAAAGTTCATCTTAATTCATAATTTTGCGCTGTTTTTGACTGATTTTTGTCCATGGCTACTATGAACACATAAATTTGAAAAGTGTAAACAAAGTATCGTGTTCTGTACCTTCATAAAATGTGACTGCTTTTGCTATATTTTATACGTGAACAATACATGGGACTCTGCTTTCTTGTACTGTCTTTTTGTTAACTGGGGAAACAATAAAAAAGCTACATAATTTTAAATGCGACTTTCAGTCACATTGCTCATTTTCCTGTTTTATTTCATTTTTAATCTGTATAATACGGCTGATGAAAGTCGCTTTCTTCAAACTCGTTGAATTTTTAAAATGAGAATCTCTCTCGATATCCATGATTTTGTATTTTATATTATGATTTTCAGCCATATCGCCACATTACATTTGTTTGCTTTTGACTTTGCTTTCATCTTTGAAGTTGTCATTCTCTGTGGGATTTATTCAGTTTACTGCAGCGTTAATCTTATTCAATCTCATTTGCACGCCGCTGTTTTCTATTAATTGTTTCCGTCTTTTTAATGGTGCAAGATTTCTGTTGACCGTTACAGGCACGGCTGCCATGCCACCTTCAGACGAAACTGTGGACGTGACCGCGACCACGGAAGTCCCCACAACCGTAACCACAGACCCCTCATTGGTGGACAACCTAACGCCTGCCACCACCACAAACAACAACATCAACATCAAATCCTCAAACTTGGCGCAACCTACGCTGTCTCCCACACCACCCACTACTACAAACATTTCCTCTCCATCTCTTGCCACAAAGAAAAATGGCACGGCCTCTGGTGCCATCAATAAAGTGGCCACTCCCTCTCACTCCCCTACAGGGAACTGTACCTCCTCACAGCAGCTGCTCACGCCAGGGGGCAGCAGCAGCAGCACGCTTGCCTTGCCGCACGCTGCACAGGGCGGTAAGGGAACGCACTCTAAGACAGGCCGTTTGCGGTATGACTTCCTTCCATCTTCTACATCAACTCTTTCTAAGTCTTCTTCTATTCATATTGCTACATCTCGACTTTCTGAATCTTCGTTCTGTTCTCCGCTATCCAATGCTCCTGCTGAAATGTATTCTAAAATAATTTCTTCGTCTTCAGGCATGCCATTTATCTCTTATCCTGCTACTTCTAATGTTACTTCTTCATCTTGTCTTCAGCCTATCATGACCTCTTCCGTCTTTCCTTCTTCTCATGCTCCATTCAGCCCAAAGTTTATTTCAAATGTTATACCTGAATATATTCCTATATCATCCTCTACTACTTTTCTCTATACTTCTTGCGTTTCTTCAACTGCTACTGCGACTTCTTCAGCTGACGCTGAGAGAAAAATTCCTCAGCCTTCAGTGTCAACAAACCTTGTTGAGTCCTATATGAATAATAATCCTATGGTTTCAGGTCTCCCAAACTCAAATGGAACGTCAAATTATTCTGATCATTCATGTATTCCCTTGTGCACCCCTTCAGTTACGTCGAATAGCTTGAAGCTTTTGACTTCTCATTCTAAACCGGTTGCAAGCATGACAAGTGTACCTTATGTGTCTTCTCCCTCGCTACATCCTGGGCTAGTCGCTAGCCAGACTGGGTTAGAATTTAGAACTAACGCTTCTCCCTCGTCTAACTATTCGTCAGTAGTCGACGTTCTTATTCCTCATCTAACCACCCCTGCCGACGTTGTCCGCTCTAGATCTTCCAAATCAACTTCGGCTTTTTCTACTCCTATATGTGGACCTTCAAGTAGTATCCCTTCTTCCTCGTTTAGTATAACAACTGATGGAACTGTTCCAGCGCATGAACTAAATCCCGAGGCGCTCTATTCATCGCATGGTAAAAGTGCAGTACTGTTTAATTCTAATTCTCATGAGAAACTGAATAATTCTACTACGCTTTCTCATTCTCATGGAATTTCTAGTGGTATTTCTCAAGGTGTACGTGATAAACCTCTGGGGAGCAGTATGTTGCAAGAATCATCTCAAAACCAGCATGTGTTGAGGCCTTCCTCTTCCACATATGCTTCAAATTCGACGCCAGTTCCTCATTCTGCATCGCAATCGTTAATTAAACCCATCGTGTCAGTCTCTTCATCGCATCTTATGTCTAGCACATCTTATGTACCAAACCATGGTACAAAATTTGCTCCTAGGTCGTCGCCGTTATTATCGCCATCGTCGTTCGCTACCTCGTTCGTTATCCCTCCTTCAATACACGACGTTAGTCTGACGTCCTGCCACCAAACTGTCTCGACCGTAACCCTGCCCCCGCCTCCACTTTCTTGCTCAACTTGCGTCGTCCCCTCGACTACCTGCGCGCCTACAGTAGACACTAAGTCTGTACACTCCCTAAATTCGTCTGGTTCCCCAGCGCACGTTCTAGAGACCATCACCTCGGGCACAGTCACTCCAGCAAGTTCTGCAGGGAGAACGATCAGATCGACGAGTACCAACTCTAACTCACCGAGTCACCATCGAATCAGCCGAAACCGAACTGAGTCGACGAAATTACACGGGGGAAGCGATATTCCCAGTGTTCCTGATTCTTCAACAAAAGTTTCGCACAAAGCAAGCAACTTGACATCAACGCCGTGCATTGTATCGCTATCCAATAATTCTTCGATACTTTCCCGTCGACCGTCTACTCGTTTAACTGCTCCTGAGGTGACAATCATCCTGCCATCTAAGTTCAACCCCTGCATTGTAACCTCGTCTTCATCACGCAGAACCGCAGTTACTTCTTCGAAACTTAACTCGCCTCAATCGCCGTTCTCTGCCCCATTTGTTGACGTAGTTTCAACGCAAGCGGTTTCATCTACTGGTAAAACCTCCAACATGGATTCTCAGTGCAACAATTTGAATAAGGAAGGTGTCTCGCTATCGAGGTTTGCATCAGTTGTCCGGCCTGTGTCCTCCGCCATTCGCTCCATCTCGAAACACAACGCTCCATTATTTCTTGAGGTTCATCCAAACGCGTCCAATAATATCGACGACGTATCATCGTTTTATACCTACTCAGACTCGCTGGTTTTACCTCTGCCGGCTGCGACGTCCATTTCGGTGGATGTTAGCCGTCTTGCTGTTTCTAAAAACAGGGATTCTACAAACGGCAATTTTATTATAAATAATGGTGTGAAGAATGAAAATTACTTTAACAACGTCAACCAGCTGAGGATGTTAGAAAGGAAGCAGAATAATTTTACTAATTTTGATGAAATGTCCTCTACTGAAGCAAGAAAGGAGATGAGAAATAATCGTGAACTATTGAAACGCTCCTCATCTTATTACGAGGACGTGCTCATGATTGATAAAACTCCAAGGGGTTCGGTGCACTCTGGCGAAATCATCAAGAAACCTGCTCTGAGAAACCTCCATTCATTCTCTACGTTTCGCTCAAGTACCGACCTGTGAATGTTGTATTATGTACATATTTGTATTTTGTAATAAATTATTTGTACAGTAACTTAAGCTCTTCAACGACTACAACTTTAGACGTCTAGTTATCTTTCTTGTTGAATATTGACTCACTATCGAATACTGCCTTACTATCAAAACTCGCTTGATAGGTACACGGAGCGGCTTATATACGCGTAGCGGCCTATATAAACGTATAGCGGCCGATTTCTCGTATGTGATTGGTGGGTTTCGCTTGAAAAGCCGCAAGTAATTGGGTAACTGAGAAACAAAATTGCAACTTTTTGCAGAAAGTACGACCTCGGTTCATTGGAAAAATAATTTAGCGCCGCTAGTTTTTCAGTTGTTTTGCTCGTAAGTCGGGTATTGTGTCGCCCAGTTATGACTTTCTATTATCTTCAAGAAGCTAGTGATGTTTGGTCTGAGAGCCTGAACTCCTGTAGACTTGGTTTACTGCGATGTTTCAGCTACAATACGCACGTGTAGAGCTGTCTTCCAAGCTACGCTTTGCGTAGCTCTTGTTGAAGACAGATCACAAGGATCGAAAACGGTTTCCATGCAATTTTCAAATTACAAAAATATAGATTTATAGTGCTGACAATTTTAATATTAAAATTTTCTTCTTCTCCTCGATCTTTTTTTCTAGCACACAACTTTCTAAATTCCCTGTAAGCATGATTAACGTCTATTCTGTTCAGAGCACAATGCACCCAATCCCTCAACTTGCTCTCTATTTCGTATTTAATGGCGAGAACAAATTATACTTGAATTTCCATCAGCTGTACGGCGCAGGTCGTTTTCTATGGCTTCTTGCAGTGTTCATATTCATGAGTCTGCGTTTTACTTCCTATTCTGTTCTACTTTTATACGACCCACCCAATCATCGTTCAATTTTCCTAAACTTGTCTTGTTGGAGACTACATATCTGACTGTCCTTGTACCGTACACAGTCACACAAATGACGCAATGACCACGTCTACCACTGGTCAGTACTTATAAAGACTGCTGGGACTTATTCTATTTAAACTTTGGAGTATTGCAACTTTTACTTTCGTCTACCCCAGGACAAGTTATAACTAAAGTTCAATGCCAGTTTGTTTGATTTGCAGTCATCTTCGACTTTTTAGTATGATTCGCTAATTATAATTTTGCTCTTGCCTATATGATTGTGGTTAACTCATTGTAATGTGTGTGGTCTAAATTAAAGCATGCTTGATTGGCGTTCAAATTTAAATAGTCTTGTTAAAGTTACTGTTCCCTACAAAGCTCACTCAATAAGGCATTGGTTGATACTACGGTTGGGCCACGTTTTCATTTCATCCCTCATATTTATGTGTCTTTATCATCCTAATATGAACTCTATTTCCTCGTCCATCCTCCCTGACCTGCGGCAAACCTTTGGACGCCAACCTTGCGTCTTTGATGTCATTCCTGCTCATCTCTGCGGTGCTATGACCTACGGCAATCACATTCCCTGCTCGGCATCCGGGAAAAATCTTTGAACGTGCTTCCGAAATACCTGACATTCATCGCGGTGTCGTTTGAACGCACCTTGTCTGATTGTTTCTTGAAACGCATTCTGATCTGTGAACAGCTTCGGGAACAGCGCAAGACCGGCTCGACTCGCTGCTCAAGAGTCTACATAAAGACTCGTCTGTCCCGCATTACCTGGACCCATCCGTCAATGATCTATCGAGTGGCAAGCACCCTGACAAGGCTGCGACCGTCGCTGCAGCCTCTCAAGGAGCTCTAGGTGAGAACTATGGCCATCATCACACTGCGTTTACATCATGCACTACTTTCAAAAGCGCTCCTGTGAAGCACACTCTTTCTATGCATTCGAATGAGCTGCCTGGAATTATCCATTATACGGTTATTTCGTGTTATAGAAACATAAGTGTTTGGAGCATTTTTTGCTATTTTTTTTTGTAATGCTCCTCTCTCCAGTACCTCGGGAAGTAGATACATAAGTGCTCCCATATCCGCTCCGGCATCAGCTGTAGGATGAGGGTTGTTTTCTAGACAACGTTAAAATTTCTATTTGCAGCGAGCTCGGGCCTCTCGCTCACATCGAGACCGTGCTTGTGCTCGGCTGAGGTTCCCTCTTATTTGCAGTCATTACCTGTCTGCTCGTAATCGTTTCAGCCAGTTTTTTATAGTCACTGATTGCACTTCACCTCCCTTCGGATCTGAGTAAACGTCACTCAGTGATGCAAATTTGAACATACTGCTTGTGCTCTGTGCAGCTGGTGCATTGGTTTTTTCCAAAATAGCCAGTGGCGATTTTCTCTGATATATAATTTTTTCATACTTCTCAATTGACAAATTGTGCTTTTCTATTTCTGATTTTTACATCTAGTTTTGTTTGATATTTTCGGACTCATTAACTCGTGTAATTCTTTATATTTTCAAATGGCCGATTGCTTTGACCGCAAACGTAGTTTGTTGATGTAATCATTGCTTCTGTAAATGTGTTTTCTGAACAGTAGAAGTAACATAAGTTTCTTGGTATTTCTTCTTGACCGACGTTCTGTGTGTAATGCTAGCATTACTTATGCTTTGTATTATTTGCTTCTATTCGCCTCCCAAAATCAATAGAAGTTTGTTTTGGTAAAAATTTTGTGTAATTGATCTGCTTGTATTTGTTGGGGTAGTTCTGATTGATTGATGAAACCTGTGCCATGTCATCGTCTTCACTCAGGCTTGTTGAGTCTCTCTCGCTCGCGTGATGATCGTCTGAAAAATATTTAAGTGTGCCTTTTCAAAAATCTTCAATTAGTGACTAGTTTCATCTCCACTCTTGCCACTGTAAATGTCCCAGATGGGATGATTGGTAATTGACTGTGGTATTTTGTATACAAATTCGATTGCCAAAGACAGTAATTGCACTTATTTTTATCAAAACTGTTGCTACTCAAAATCAAATTTTCGGTTATGTCATTGCTCCGCTGCTAACTAATCGTTTAATATCAAGCAAAGCAGCAACAAACCGCTCACGAGGTACGCTCAGACGGTCAAAACTTGATTAATTATTGAACATTTGTCCGAATTTTTTCTTGTTGTTTTGTTTAAAGATGTAATTCAAACCTCGCAATACATGGGCTGGAGCTTGGATTGTTGAATAAGTTGTATCATTAATAGCATGATTTTCAATGGGTACCTCGCTCAACATGTGCTGGAGCTGGAATTGTTGAATAAGTTGTATCATTAATAGCATGATTTTTCAATGGGTACCCCGCAGAAGCGGACGCGCTGGCTAACAAACTCAAGGGCCTCGAGAGCAGCTGTAGCTCCGGATATTCTTCAACGGCGGTGCCCAGTGGTGGAGTTTCCGCTGGTGAGTTACGTGTCATGAACCTGGCATGAAACAATTAGTTTATGATATTTTATTGCAACTGCATGAATTGTTGGGTTTATCTCTATGCGAGTTTAATGAGATAATGTGTCCAATGCAACTGTTGGAATTTTTTTTGTTTTATTTTTTGCAAGTTTTATAAGATGCAGTGTACAATTTACTCTGTGTAAAATGGATCACAAAGCATTTTTTCACTGTTTTACAATTTAAAAAAATTTTATAAAATGATTCAAATGAAAATGACAATATGGTACATTTTCGTTATCCTGGAGATAGAGCAAAAAACACAAAATAAACTTTGGAACGTTTTCTGTTCAACTGGCTGACCTCACCGGTGGCATATCGCATTAAATGCAGCATCACAACTCACCAATTGTACGATGTCAAAGTCTAAAGAAAACTTGATCGCTATGTGCTGCAAATAACTAATCATTGGTACAGTTTATTCTCTCTTTCATCTGTACTGTGTTTTTCATTTCCCACCGATTTATACTCAGTCATTTCTTTACAGTGTTATTCATTTACCCCTGGGTTCATTCTCAGTTATGTTTTAAGTGTATTTCTCATTCTCCCCCCGGGTTTATACACAGCAATTAACTGTATTTTTATCACCACTCCAGGTGGTTTTTCGCTCTTGGGCCGAAGTTCGAAGCGCAGTCCGAAAGACGGTAACGTGGCTACGATGCTTGTGCCTGGTCCGGCTCCTCTCAACAACAACCATAACTCCTTGCCACGTAATAAAGCTGCTGCTGCTGCTGCCCGACCCATCCCTCCTGAGAACTTCAAGTCTAACATTCTTAAAGGTAAACACGATTTAAACTTGAAATACTTTTGATGCTGAAATGCATGAAGTCACTCTCTTCGAAAGAAGAGAGTGACGCGTTTCTTAGCAATCGTGATGCATGAAATTCCGTATACACTTGGAAAAAAGTGTGAGACTTCGTCCAAACAGTGAAGCACGTTTTGCCCTTGTGTGGTATTGATCTGGTTTGGCCCGGTAAATGGACGTATGTGTTTCATGCAGAAAGTGTGTCACTATTTGTTTAATAACACCCATTAATTTTGTGAGTGTACTTGAAGCACCAAAGAGAGTGAAGCTTTATATATATTATTTATAACGCGTATGTTATATATAATTCTCACGAAATGTACACGACGACGAAACTGATAACGGCCCTTCTGCGTGACACGTAAAGAATACTTGTACCTTTTTATCTCGTTTACGTTATATTTTTGTAATTGCTTATCGAAATCTTGCGCCACAGTTGTCCGTTTCACTTAGTTTGAGTTACATATTTTCGAATTCACTATATTATTGTTTTTGCAGCAAAAGTACTGGAGGAGCAACTGAAGACGGAATCTGAACTATCGTCGTCCATTCTCCACAACGGGTGAGTAGCATTAAGCATGGTTTAAGTTCAATCTGTGGCTCAATTATCAAGTTTAATCCAAGTTTTACGACAGTGTTTGGAAGTGTGCAAGATCGAAACTATTGTGTGATTTAACGAGGCCTTTCTCGTGATTTGTGACGCACGCGATGCTTATTAAGAGTTGGTTAGCTTACTGTGAATATCTAAAACGCCTAGATTGCTCGTTGATGATTTTTTAACATAGAGATTTGCTTTCACTTCGTCTTCTTATGTGAATCATTTGATTTTTTTCGGATTTGTTCCTTGATTGAATAAGAGAAATAAGTGTTTGGTTATTTTCTTAATAATTCCAACTGTATACGTTTTTTGTCGATGTACGTTCATTGTACGGATTAGAAGTTATACGTCTTTGAGTTCATACGAAGGTTTCTGATTTTATCGCAACCCGTATAGCGGGCGACGGAGAAGTCAGTCAATGATCGCACTGCCAAAGGCTCGCGGCAGGTAGAGATTTATACTTTCTTATTATAGTCAATTGTTCCCGGCAACTTAGTTTATGGCTTCCTAAGATGCATTATGTGCGGCTAATTTTGTATTCTATGATCTCATCCTCCCGATAATTATCACCTAACATAGGATTCTTATAATCAAGCTAAAATGATTACATATCAGTGCGCGTGTAATGTTTTTACCTGGCAATACATATGCTCAGAGTTCTTGTCGAGCTTCTTTTGTTTTTTACTGAAGAAGAATTTGTGTGTGTTTAGCGGCTGCATCATATTAGCGCATCCATTCAGTTAACGCATTCGTTCAATTAAGCTTATCCCTCATTTTGGCTTTTAAATTTTTATGTTGGGATAATGTTGTGCCTAAATTTTTCGTACTGCCAACTTCCTCTCGTTCTGAAATCGGCATCCAGAATTAACCTTTTGTCTATTGACTGTAGCTCGTGTTTCTTGGTCATCAGAAATCCGTTGCTCTATATATTTTAATATGATATTCTCTAATAATTTAATTATAGTAGACAAAAGGTTAATGAATGCAGCATTTCCATCGTTTTCGCCGTAAATCATTTTTGTTGTAATTTTAGTATTGATTTGATCAGCCTTCATCGTCTTGGGTACCTGATGTGTTATGACGATGATTTGTTGACGTGTTGGTTGTGCCGTATCATAGGTCACTCCCTCGTCTGAAGAAGACGGGCAACACGTCCATGGCTTCCACTGTGAACACGTCAGACTCGGGGGCCACGTTCGTGGCTGTGGTGAGTGTGATGTCTAGTAAATCTTCCTTCCTGGACGTTCGCATTCTACACAGTCTTTGTTTCATTTGATCATTGTTGCGTTTATTTATATTGTCTGCTTTTTAAAACTTATTTTGATTGATATAATTTGATTTTTATATTCCCTTTTGAAATCGCGTTGGTATTTTGTTCAATCCTTAATGATTTTGTTCAATCATGTTTCATTTTTGTGGCTGATTTTACGTTTGGTTCACCTCACGCTAGGGTGGGGACAAGCTCACCTTACATTTAGGTGGACAGGAGCTCCCTCGCCTCCCGTCCAATCCACCTCAACATTCAGTGCCCCAGGTCAGCGACCCTCTCCCCGTTTCTCCCGACACTCCCTTGCTCGACCAATCCTACGAACTTCCACCCAGTGTCAGCCCCTTGTTGCCAACCTTGACCTTTGTCCCCACGGTCACCGCCACGTCTGTGTCCGTAACAACGCCTATTGCCAACGTCGTGGTCACCTCTCCTGCGGTAGATGACGCTTCCGACACCAACGTCTTCCCAGCCAGTTCTTCGCCTCCTCCACCCTCTGCTGCGGTTGCCATGCCTTCGTTCGCGTCGAACCCCTTCAACCCCTTCTCGTCGAGTATCTTTGCCGTCGAGAATCCGTTCGCAAAGGCCGAGGAGGCGGCCAATGCGGCGTCCGAAGAAGCTGCTGAGCAGTCCTTGTACCCAACGACCTCGACATCTCCGTTTTCTCGGTCAAACCCTTTCTTCAGCACGTCTCCTGGATACCTGCCTGCCACCACCGTATCTGCCACAACGGCTTTCCCATTCGGTGTCACAACGCTGTCGTCTTCTGGCACCTCTGGGATGTCATTGCCATCCAACGGCATCCACAGCAACGACAACGCATTGGACCCCATCGCGCAAATAGCCACGACTGTGATGTCGTCGTTTAAACCTCAACAACCCGCCCAAATGCAGCACCATGCCGTTCACACCATCAACGACAACAACTCCAAAGTTTCCTTTGTTCCTAAATCCCCTGCTCCCACAGCTCCCAGGTCCCTCTTCCTCCCCGCCACCACCATTGCTTTGTCCAACTCCTCCCACAATCCCAGTCTCAAAACCAACGGGACTTCTCCCATCGTGAAACCTCGCGCCGCAATAACCGGCATTCTCAAAAATAAAGCCGTGACTGAAATTCATAATGAAAAAGTCAGTCCAAGCATTGACTTCCTTCTCGATGCCAAGGTAAGGTGGATGAATACCTAGTGTGTCCTGCATCTGAATCGTAACGTGAATGATTGCTAAATCCATCATTGCCGGTACATCCAAATCTTGAATTGAATTTTGTCTTGTATTAAATCAGTTTATCTCCTTTTTTAGAAGAGTGACATTTTATTTTTTCAAAATGAATATTTCTCGTTTATCTAGATTTGTTGTTGTGTTGTCATCACGTACATCCATTTCTTCCAATAATTTAAAATGCTATTTTGTCAGTGTGAAGCTATTGAAACGTGTGGTGTGTTGTAGCAGATTGCTTTTTGTATTTGATTAAATTGTTTACATACCTTTCTGTTGTGGAAGCTATTTATCTTGATTTTATTTATTTGAATGCTAGAACGCGATTTCTCGTTTTTTCTCTGTAGGCTTATTGTTTTATTACACATTAACGTTACCATGGCATTTTTACTATCTTATTGGTACGATTCTTTGTGAGTGTTCTTATTTGCTGTGTTTTTCAATTAGAGCAAATTTCGTCGTGTTATGCATTATTACCTTAATTTTTTAGACTTCTTTATTGAAGAATTAATAATCTGCTGTGTCTTGGTCATCTAAAGTCAGTATTTCAGCCTTTTTATCGTACTATTCAGATAATTCATGCTCTCTTCCCTCAGTTGGGGTCAGGAGACGACCGTCTAAACCTGCCATCAGAGCAGCCCAAGCTGAGCACCTTCACTGGCGGAGAGCCTTCCCCCAACTCCCCCCTATCCTCCTTCTCTTCCCCCAGTCTTTCTTCACAGGACGAACTGTCTTCCACTTCTGTCTCCGCCACGAACAGCGTACGCATCGTTTCTTCCACCAATTCCACCGTCTCGTCCGCTAGCGCTTCATCGGTCCATTCTCCCCCATCCACCGTCCCTAGCAGTATGTCCCCATGGCTAGTGGGCGACCCGTCCCCTCCCACCCAGTCCTACAAGTCCTTGAGCAGCTCCACAGGACCTACGCCCCTCAAGATGCGATCCGTCATCACTACGGAGCTCTGAATCCGTTGAATCTGAATCCTTTCCTTTTTATTTGCACGCATCCGTTGCTTTTTTTATATCAAGTTTGTTCCAGAAATTGTCAAATGTCCAAACGGAAATCATGGGGCTTCTTATATTTCCCTGGCAATCAAATGCGTATTAATAGTTTCATGCAATTACAAAAATTTGCTTAAATTATTTTGGAGACTCAAACAAATTTACCTTACTGTCCTTCCAATCAAGAATACGCATACTATTTCGTTGTTGGTATTTCGATTTGTGATTAATCAACAGACGAAATTGCGCGTGCCTTAACACAGTGTCTTGTATATATACGTGATCATCAGATACTTTAATGGTGCTTGCGTATTTTCAATATTTAAATTAAAATGTAACTTATTTCCTGACAAGTGACTTTACCGTCCCAAGGTTTTTAAAGTAAATTCATTGTGAAGTCTCATGTTTTACTGCAGCGATCATTGTTTTAGACGTGTATTTAGAGATATGAAGCAATATATTTTTTATAAAATCCGTGGTTAAGGTCATTGAGCTTCAGATGTAATTCATGAACAGATAAAGGATTTCCTCAAAATGTAAAATTGCAAACTAAGTTATAAATTATGTAAAATTTGCGCATAACTAATGAAGTTATGCGCAACACTCACATGTTTTATATCGTGCAGATTTTTTTGAGCTTTTCAAGGTTTACTATTCTCATCATTAGTTCGTACTTGACTTGTGAAACATTGTGAACTGTTATTTTTTTCATTGCATTATCTTGTTTTCGAGCGATATTGGAAGCTGTTTCTAGATTTTTGCTCTTGCCAGCGAGTTCAAACGTAATCAAACCTCCTATTTTATACGCTGCCATTATTATGCTCATTTTCGTTTTTATTTCTGGCCTCGCATAATCTCATTAGTTATCCTAACAATATTCTTCCTAGCAGTCTTCACTACTGTGATTGCTACTGATTATGTTTAGTGACCGCCTATATCTTACCTTTATCTGTGCTTATGAAAATCCTGCTTTACCGTCCCTCTTATAGGACTGGTATTTCTTTAGCTTCCCACCATCGTTCAAGAACAATTTTCCTGGCTTCTTTTTTGGAGTATCCTAACATATTTTGCATTCCGTTGGTTCGAGATCCTTAGTAAGTCACGTAGAATTTATTCTTTAGGCAGATCCAGATCTATCGTGTTTTTATTAATTTAGTTATGCTAATTTCATGTCCGTTGCTATCCTAATTGTTGTTGTGTACATTTCATGATACATTCCAAGTTATAGCATTTAATTAAGTGCTTTTGGCTATCGTTATTGATGGTATAAACTTTGTTAGGGCTCTTGTTTAATTTTTAAGCTATGTCATCAGTCAAAACCGTTTTTACATGACCTAGGTATATCCTGGACACAAATGTCTTAAGTCGCTCGTGGTTATTATAAAGCATAAAACTCTTTTTTCTAATCTGTTTTTTTCACTAGGCTCTGAATTTAGTTTCATTTCTTTTTGAATCAAAATCATTTAATATAAGCATCATCAGTGCAACATTTTACCTGACGATTCGACAGTTGAAGTATAATTACAAGCAGTTGCCGTGCTTGCAAACGCAGGTGCTGAGACTTAAATTTCGCCCGTGTGCTTTTCGCAACAACAGAAGAAATACTGTCGTTATGCAAAAGATAGAAATGTGCAATATAACCTGCACGAGTTAAAATTTATGGGACATGAAGGTACTTACATGGAAAGAGTCCCAAATGCGGAGGTAGATTCCTTAAGGTTTGATATTTCTGTATCGCCCAGTCCCATAACACTGCTGTCTTTGTAAGTACATACTCAGATGCCGTTAATGAATTGTTTTAGTTACCTTTCGTCGCTGTGGGAGGAGATCTGCTTGTAAGGGAGCGGCATAGCTCTTGTCGTTTTTAATGCCATTGAATTTCACAAGATTGTCGAGCACATAGAGGCGGGATTTGTAAATTAAAAAATTCTGCTTTCCTTAAAATGTTGAATGTTCGGTATAGTGGATAAAACATGCAAGGTGTTGTTCCATCAGTGGCATTAGAGCGACACATCTGCTTTAGTTACACCATGTTTTATTATTGTAATGCCTCTTACAAGATTTGCAAATGGGGCTTCGTTTACGTCATAAAAAAGACTGATTGTTCGTCATCTATCGACAGATTATTCGTCATTTTTAGCGCATTTTCTCATTTATGGAAAAAATCCACTATTGTGCTCGCCATGTCCGTCTGTCTGTCCGTCCGTCTGTCCGTGACCTCAAGTTTTCGTCGACGAGAAAATGCGCTCTCTGTCACTCACTGCAGTGAGTACTGAGTTATATCTTTTTATTATTTGTCAAAAAGGGACAGATTATTCGTCCAGTGTGGAGAGTCGCAGACATATCTATGTACTATTACATAAATTGATAAAGATCTAACCTATCCTAGCATAACCTAACCTAAGTTTTAGAAAAGTTTCGTTCTAATCAAGAAAGAAATGTCGCAAAAATCTGTAATAATTTTATGTATTGCTTATAATTATGTTCAGAATACCATGCGGATCCGTTCAAATTTGTGGGAATTATGAGCTGTTGAGTTCTGCAAGAGCAAGATGCAACTCATTTTTATAACAAGATGCAACTTTAGCTTTTGAGTCCACTGGCGTATGCGTTGGTAAGTTCTTCAAAGGTCGACTACCTCGTCTGCGGCGACGATGTAGTCGACGCAGTACCATGACGTTTATACGTATAGTGACTAAAACGCCGCTAAAACCGCATAATTATTGCAGCGACAAAGGCCTAGTGCTTCCGACGCGCGTCTCCGCTTCGCTGGTATATTAAGTATTTCACTTGAAAGTTCGTTTGACGATTGTTAAAAAGGAACGTATGTTGCATGGAAATATCCGAAGCAAATTAACATCCCTATTTTGTTGAATGAACATCATAGACAAAGCAACTAGCAAATGTGGGGATGTGCGGCTACACCCTTACACCCTTGCTCACTTGGGAAATGAGGGGCACACGAGGATGAATGCAGGCACGGTCCGCGCAACATAGAGCTTATGCAACACGCACAGTTAATGCAACACATGCAGTTCATGCAACGCACTATTCTCGCAGCAAACAGATCATGCAACACACTGTTCTTCCAACACACAGTTCATGCAATACACAGTTCATGCCGCCGATAAAAATTCTACCACCGTTCTCAGCATCGTTTTTGTGACGTCATACCAGTCGGAAAAGGAAAACATATTCGAGAAACATGTTGTTCAGGTTTCATCTTTTGAAGAATGTGAAGAATTTGCTCCTCAAAAATGCTCAAAAACATCATCAACACTCATGCTTAGCGCTGTTCCTGCTATCGTTTTAAGATTTTTTTGTCTGAATAATTTTTTACTTTGCCCTTCAGACTCAAAGTTAGAAATGCAAGCCTTTTGTGCTAAAACTTGGTATTCGGCGAAAAAAAACAAGCGGAGTGAAAAATTCTGACAGAGCTTGTAGGAGCGAAATTTGAGTAAAAAGCTTCATTGCTAATTCAATAACTAGGTCAATATTTTATTTCACTTGATAAAGTAAAATGTTGCAAGGGTGCTGCATGATTAGTACCATAAAACTTGTCCTAAAAACTCGTCCCAAAAATTCCTTTCAAAAGTGTCGGAGTGCTTTTATTGTGTTCAAATAGTGGCTTTAGTTCCCGGCCAAACATTTCATTGAACGTTAGAAAAATTAGCGGTAATATATTGCGCTTGAATGTCAAGTTTTTCTTGAACTATCATCCATTATCTACGTAAGTGCGGACACGTTCAATGGACTAAAACAGCTGATTTCTTATCGACACTGCGGCTTATCGGTAGTTAGCCTTGAGAAAAAATTGTTGCTCTCGTTTGCCTCTATCGTCGACGCAAGGCGTAAACTTGGCCATTATTTCCATCTCTATAACTATGATAATACTAAGTATAAATTAATACTATATCAAATGGCTCTTTCTAGTGCTGATACTAGTCCTCTGTATGAGGAAAGAAAACGGGCTTCATTTGATTCCGAAGAACTCAAGACATTTTTGGATCCTTCCGAAATTATTGAATTTAAGGTATGTCATAATGTCACACACTATGACAGAGGTCAGAGTATGACTATAGATTTTGCAAATTAACTGTTTATCATAGATATTTTGTTGATTCTTTTGGTTTTTGTTCCATCAGTAACGTAGTACTATGCAGTGACATCACTGACAAGTGAGGGATTAAAAAATGTTGAGATTAAAATTACAATTCTTTAAACTATGCTTATTTCTGCTAAACAATAAGTTTGGTTTATATATATGCATAAATTTTCAAATTGTTGCACCAATAGAATCTAAAAATAGATTTTATATCTGTTTAAGTAATTTTAATATGTAAAATCATAGTAATTATGTTTAATTCTTCAGATTTGATCCAGGTAGTTGTAGTGACTAGTGAGTTAGCTAGTCTAATTACACCATTTTCCATCACAGTTGTATATGATTCTAGCAATGCTATTTGTGCACTCTAAAAGGAGGCACTGAAAACTGAAATCAGTACAGTGTTTCACTTAAGAAATCTGTATAACATTTTGGGTTTTTTCCTCTAACCCTTAGGCTTAACAAAACAAAGCTGCCATGGCCCAAGTAAACAATGAAAAACTGGAGACCTCTCATTGAACAGGATGACTTTGGTATAAGGAATTTAAAAGCAAAGAAAATGCCAAACAAATTCACCATATCAATATTGAAAACATTTTGGAGTGCACTGCAGCTCCATCATCAGTTTGACTTTGGTATAATTTGAGATTTCATTATTCATTTTACAATAAAAGTTCCTGAATATAGCTGTTAGCTGAATTAAGCAGTCAGTTAAGAGACAAGCAGAAAAGAAAAAATATAACTTGAAACTCACTGCAGTGAGTGACAGAGCACGCGTTTTCTTGTCAAAGAAAATGTGAAGTCACGGACAGATGGAAAGATGGACATGACAAGCAAAATAGCGCCTTTTTTCATAAATGTGAAAATACGACAAAAGGGTTAAAAAATATATAATTAAAAAATTTGAAAAAATGCAAGACCCAGAAGTCATTATGACCCTGTTGCTACTAGTATGAAATTTGTGACAATTGACCCTCTTAGTCACATACTCAGCTATAGGAATGACTCCTCTCTTTTTGTAAAAATTATAATCTTTTGGCTATGTTAAAATGTAAAAATTCTGTATTTTTATTCAAATATAGGAAAATGTTGTTATAACTAGAACTTTATAATTTGGCATGAAGGGTGCCAGAGTGGCAAGTCAAGTCACTCAACTGACTCAAGTGCTGCAACTTGTGTACTGTATCATTGACCATCTCACCTACCTGTCATTTTGAAGGAAATTCCATGCTAGATTTCAGTAGTTTATATTTGATCATCAGTTTGATTCAATCCTCTAAGACACCATTTTTAACTATGACTATATTTTTGGATTTGTTCTCAAATTTATTTTTGCCTAATAGTCCTTATGAATATTTTATTTAGTCTTAAAATGATATGAAATTACCAATAATATATAATGGAAATATTTTTCAGGAGCGGTTGTATAAATTCATGCAAGAAGAGCCCAGCTTTGCTCACCTATCACCTGAAGCCTCTCATGCAGAGCAGAAGCTGGCCACATACCACCGTACTGTAGCTCTTCTTAATGCCAGATTCAGTGCTCTTGAAGATTACCTACTTGACCCTAGAAAGGTAAAAAACATTCATGTTATGATATTATTCTGGATGTTTGAATGTGCTGAATTCATGCATGTAAAGCAGTGCATAAGTTTATTCACTAAGTTTTATCATTTATTTATTATTTGTAAGTTACCATATGTGTATATACAGTACATATTCGCAGTCAAAACCTGTTTTCATGACTTAATATAATAGTTTTGAATTAATATTTTTTGTGTGCTCTGAAATTAAGATTCATGTTTCCTTATTCGTGTTTGTATTTCAGCCAGCCGTGGCTGTTATGTGCTTGGGTGAGTATGACTGGTCTTTGATAGCGCGCTCTGGTCTTCTGGTGCGCTTCATACAGTCTGGCATACTGGGATTGGGCACTGAGAGGCACAGGCATCTTGTTAGCAAGCTAGAGAATCTAGAGGTGAGAAATGGAAGCAAATGCATTTGTTGCAAATGCTTTATTCTTTGTTGTAAATGCTTCATTCTTTGTTGTGGGAGGAAATGTTTTATAGTTTGGCCTGTTAACAAAATTTAAACAAGCATCAGGAACAGGGCAGTTTAAACCATCAAATTCTGTTCCTATAAGCTAATTTTCTTAAATGCAGCCATATTTTCTGTCAGTTTGTAAGGAACTTCTTCTTCATCTAAATAAATCTAAATTTTAGTTTCCTGTTTTTTACACAAGTAATTGTATAACTATTTAGCAATTTTTAGGACTTAAGATAGCATTAATCTTGCTTTTAATTTCACTTTACAAAATTATTCTTGAGAACTGTCCATCCTGATCCTAGATAGGAGGAGCGTTTTGCCTCACTGAGATCGGCCATGGAACCAACACTAAAGGCATGAGGACGGAGGCTCGCTACGACCCTGCCACTGAAAGCTTCGTGCTGCACACACCTGACTTTGAGGCTGCCAAGTGCTGGGCTGGCAATCTGGGTATGCTGAGCATTCTGAACTCTTCCAATATTGTTGGACATTCAAGGTGCCATAAACATTTGAAATTACCGTTACATGCATTGTCTTCATTGAAACGACTTCTCCTTGCCTTTAACATTCTTATTAAATATTACCATGTATAATTTTATTTGGCAAATCAACTTGTATAATAGTAACATAATAATGATTTTTTTTGTCCAGGTGAGACGTGCACCCACGGGCTTGTGTTTGCTCAGCTATACACAGCAGACGGTGCATGCCACGGGCTGCATTGCTTTGTTGTTCCATTGCGTGACCCGGCCACACTCAAGACCTTCCCGGGCGTCACCATAGCAAACATGGGGCGCAAGCATGGTCTCAATGGAGTTGATAATGGGTTTGTTTTTGCAGAAATATAAGTTGAAATATAATGCAAGTAATCCAAGAAAAATAGAATCATAATATAGGTAATGAAATACATTTGAGATGCTTAGGCAAGTTGAAGATCTTATGAAGTCCATATTCGAGTGTACAGAAATCATACAAGCGAGATATCCAAGAGACCATCCTGTGAATGGTTTGCCTCAGCACTGCTATTTATGTCCACTCCTTTATCGAAATTATTGCTGTTTATCGTTCATAGTCTCATTTGGCATTCTTCTATATTGTTCAAACATCAAGTAGCGTTCAATTGTACGCCTGTTCTTCCACTTATTATTTTTTTTGAACGTCGCGCTCAAGTAAGAGGCGTTCTAATAAACGTTTCCTTGCTTGCAGAGTGATGCTTCTGGACCACTACAGAATACCTCGAGAAAACCTCCTCAACAGAACTGGCGACGTCACTCCCAGCGGCCAGTATGTTTCTCCTTTCAAGGATCCATCAAAACGATTCGGTACACAGATTTTCTCGTAATTGTTTTCCAGTCCATAAATTTTTTTTAATATTTCAGGCGTTGAATTTTGATGCAAGTTCTTATTGATGACCTTAAATTAAAGTTTTAATGATTTGTGATACGCACTTGTTTTATATTTACACGAGACAGTTAGTTGTCACTATTGACTTTTTCGTTGTACTTTTAACTGAAGAATTTTTATTTGATCTCGTCTTTATCGCATCTCTGGCATTTAGAAAATAAACAAATGAATGTTGCGGTAGGGGCGTCGCTGGGCAACTTGTCAGCTGGCCGCGTGAGCATCATCAGCTTCGGCGTGGTGAACATGAGGAAGGCGCTCACGATCGCCGTGAGGTACTCCGCCGTCAGGAGGCAGTTTGGCCCGCCGTCTGCTGACGAAGAGATACCTGTGCTTGACTACCCTCTACATGCACGTATCTTCTATAGCTTTAACTTTAGAATATTGTATTTGAGTGTGCAGTATCACAACGGGCAAATGAATATAAGTTGAATGTTATTTAATAAGTGTTGAGTATATGATATGAGAAATTGAGATTTAATAAAGAAAGTCAATAAAATTCATCATCTTTTGAATCAGAATGATTCTCAATAAAACAGCTTTCTTTCTTATCCATTGCTAAAAATTCTTAGCCTAATTTTTTATTTAACCAATCCAGTGAACTTCCAATCATTTCCAAAGAGCTTACTAGGCAATAATCTATTCAACTTCTGTGCAGCAATGGAGGCTGTTCCCGTACCTGGCCTGCGCCTACCTGCTGGACCACTTCTCTAAGACCTTCTCCGACCACTACGCCAACTTCACCATGACAATGATGGGTCGAGAAGATCCTGACTTAATGGTGTGTCCAGTCCATGAAATTAATCCAGTCGTGAAAGTTTGGGTGTATAATTAGTTTTTGTATCTTTAATAGACAGTAACTGAGATGATATTAATGTGCATCTTTTGAAGGAATTATCGATTAAATGTAAGCTTTCACGTAACCGTTGTTATTCGATTCCACTTTTGCACTCTTTATACTGTTATCCGAATTTCTTTGAGTGTTGGTGCTCTCAAATAAACAATAATAATGAATCGTGACTGACATCACAAATGCTTCACCCGAAGCGCGTTTGTTGACGATCTAGTCGACCGTCCGTCATTTATTATTTGTTCATTATTGTTTTTGTAATTGTTCGTTATTGTATATGTTCATTATTGTTATTTTATTTATTATTTGTTCATTATTGTTATTGTTATTTAACATTTGCTCATTATTGTTGTTGTTGTTGTTATCGGGACAGGCTGAGTTTGGTCAGGAGATCCACGCGCTGTCGAGCTGCGGCAAGCCCCTGTCTGGATGGCTGGCCCGGGACTGCATCCAGGAGTGCCGGGAGGCTTGCGGGGGCCATGGCTACCTCAGTGGTGGGTTATGAGGGCCTCCTTGACGCTACTTTGTTCTCTTCAGTGCAGCGAAATAACATGTTATGTTAATAACTTACCTATGAAAGCGACGCTTTGCTGAAAAATTAAACATAAATAAATGTTATTCTGCTTCATATGGTATGTTTTCACGACTTAACAATATTATCTAATATTTTGAACCGAGATGAGGATGTTTCATTCTACAACTAACTAATTACATCAGCATAATTTAGTAGTAGAGTACCTATTTCATGAAATCATGCCCTAAAGTAAAATTAAGACAGTAAATTAGCTTTGTCAGGGAATTATGTGCAGCGGATGGAAATGAAATAATTTTAACTGAAGTTTTATTTATACTCTACTCATTAACTTATGCCTCAGGTTAATTTGGTAATTCCAGTTAGTGTGGAATTCTAGAAATGATGGTTTATTTATTTGTGTTCGATCCAGCTTATTATCTTGATCAGTTGCAAAATATCAGTTGAATTCAAAAAAATAAATATTATTCTTAATTTTCAGATCATAGATGAAATGTTCACTCGTTCTTATAATGCCCATCGCTATTTCACCTGTATTGTATTCCACACGTGGTCATTACCCCCTCCTGGATTCCTGATCGGTCAATTAATTAGGATTCTTGATCAGAACCCTGATCCATCAGGTCCTGAGACTCCTTTCATGTGAACCTACCACAGGCGTGGGTGTGACGTGCAAACGCCTGCTGGAGTGCCTAGCTCGGGAGCTGTGCGCCCTCACGGCTCAGGACGCGGTCGCTCTCACCTCCACCGACGCCTTCACTGTCCGCAACAACACGCAGGTCTTCCGCGCACACCCCCTCGCCGTCGTCCACTTCCACGTCAGTCGTATGCATATCCTGTGTATTTTTAGCGCATTTTCTCATTTATGGAAAAAATGCACTATTGTGCTCGCCATGTCCGTCTGTTCGTCTGTCCGTCTGTCTGTCCGTCCGTGACTTCACGTTTTCGTCGACGAGAAAATGCGCTTTCTGTCACTCACTGCAGTGAGTACTGAGTTATATTTTTTCCTAATACTTTCCTTCACTAATACAGAGTATTTGAAGTGATAACCTTGTCCACTTCCACCTCAGTCGTGCGCGCGACACGGTTTATCTAAATATTTCTTTCACTTCTACGTCATGGATGCATGAAATTTTGTTTTACCATTAATTAATGTCTCATTAATGGAACTGCACTATAAACTTGAAATTTTTATTTCTAGAACACCTATACCAAGGTGCTGTGATTTACCGCTCAAGCTTTATGTTATTTACGAGTATATCGTCTGGGCGTTAGTGATGATTAGTAAGCGACTCCAGCCCATGATGCTGATGTTGGTGTGGTGCCTGCAGGTGGTGATGTTGCTGTGGTACGAGCAGCTACTGCAGTCCTGCAACAACCACAAGCTTCTCCTGCCACTGCGTCGCCTCTGGGCGCTCTACGGTGCCACTCAAGTCTTGAACTTGATGCAGTTCTCACATGCCGGTCGGTTTATCCAAATCATTCATTTTTCCATTATTTTGCGTTGGCTTTCACACATATATTCCTTAATTTTCCAGCAATAATACAATTGTGGAAGCTATTCTGGAAAATTGATTTTCATCTCTTGAATTGAAAATTTTAAACATTCCGGCACTCATTGAGTAGTAAGTTAGTTGATCGCTGCATCGACGACTGCAACAAAGTGAATGGAAGTTCATGTATATGTGGCTCTCATTACACTTACAGGTTAATATCCTTGCTATGATCGGTTACGTATTGTAATTTTATTTTTCCAAATCAATTGTTTTTACAGTAGCAATTTCTGATAAGAAGACCTTAGGTAATGACATTTTACAACTAACCCTTCGATGTATTAGTATATGTTCAATTCTATTGTTAATAGCGATCGGCAGCTTTTGTGGAGTTGGTTAAGAAAATATTGATTGTTAGTTATTGTCAAGTTTTGATCGGTTGTAAATGCTCATGCACGTTAAAAGTACTTGTTAAAGCTGATAGTTGAGCTGGACACGTATTGTTAGATTGTGTTAACTATACTACTCCGCTGTTAAAAAATATCTTGTTAAGGTGGTTAAACTTTACAGAGAGTAGCAAGTTAACAATTTTTCTGGCCAGTTTAAACTATAAATTTTTTTATAAACTATAAACGCTATAAAAATATCTTGTTAAGGTGATTAAACTCTACAGAGAGTAGCAAATTAATAATTTTTTGGCCAGTTTAAACTATAAATTGTTTTTTATAAACTATAAATTATTTAAAATATAATTGTATTATTTAGTTTAATATAGGTACTTTACTTCACCTCCACAACACCCACGCAGGTGTGCCGCCGCTCACCGTGCGCTGCCTGCAGGCGCACGTGACGCGCCTCTGTGCCGCCTTGCGCCCTGACGCCGTCCCTCTCGTGGACGCCGTCGCCCCGCCCGACTTCTGCCTCAACTCCGTCCTGGGACGACATGATGGACGCGTGAGATGCTAATACTTCTTGTGATATATTTATTTCTTTATGATGGACGCGTGAGATGCCAATACTTCTTGTGATATATTTATTTCTTTATGATGGACGCGTGAGATGCTAATACTTCCTCTGATATATTTCTTTATGTTGACATGTGCAGGAAATGTAGATTTATTTTCCCGATTTTAAGAATTTTCTTGTGATTTCTCATTTTAGTGACGTGCTAATACGACATTAATTTTATAATATCTTAGCTTCGATCTTTGTGCTAATATGATTGTTGCCCTGGAAGTTGTAGTCCAATACTTGACTTTGATCAAACTAATAATGCACGTAGCGACTTCAAAGTTAAAATTTTAATTTCAGAGATGTTCATTGAATGTTTACAGCGTTTAATTACACCGAAGTTCATTAAATGCCCGCTTATTCACTTTGTTATGTTTGTGTTGCTCAGGTATACGAGCACCTGAAGGAAGCAATGCTCGGGCCACCAGGCGCCACGGAGCGCCCCGAATACTGGCAGCAAATGACGTATCCTCCTCGTAACCTAGTCCCTCTCGCCAAACTCTGAACCAAACTCTGGTGAAAATGATCAGTTCTGTACGCTAGTAAGATGCTAGTGACTTGTACTGAACCCCAGACATCCAGTCATATACTGCAAATGATGAACTTTGATCCTTTGTGAAGTGAAGATGACCAAGTTTGTATCGTAGTAATGGTAAGTGATGAGCGTGATGAATGTGATGAATGGGTAAGTGATAAACCCCGTCAAGGTGCAAATGATGAAGTTCCAAGCCAAGTTGCAAAAAGTTTCCTTTTAACCCCGACGAGCTGCAAAAAGTTCCCTGTGAACCCCGACAAGTTACAAAAAGTTTCCTTTGAACCCCGACAAGTTTCAGATGATGAACTCTGAACTCTGGTGAGATGTTAACTTTTGCATCAGGAAAATGTTCATTTCTGAACCCTAGCGTCGTGGAACCTCATCCTCATCGTGGACCCAAGCATCCGCCACACAGCGCCGCTCCAGGTCAGGCGTTGCCTTCATGCTGAAGCTGTTCTAGTAGATTCCTGTCTATTAGAGAATTTGTGTCAGTTATGAATGATTTTTTTATTTAAGAAACTTTCAATAATTGAGACCTTCCATTCTGTTGGTGATGTTCATCTTCAATTTCGGTGCGAGAAAGCTCAGTAGCTGTAGCGCTAGTAAACATGTGGCAAGCAACTTATGTCAGTGGGTACTATTGTTTGATTGTTTTTTTTTATTGGTCAATTTAAACCTTTCCATCTATTACCTTGAACTCCAGCATTCGTTCATCATTGATTTAGAAAGTATAGACCCAATTTCAAACATTTTTGAGAAGTTCTTCACTGAGGTAAATTGTAAGAATTTTTATCGCGAGCTCAAATAATTTTTTTTTCGTTCTCTAAAGTTTACGTCGGACTTACGCAGAATGAATCTAACCTCGCTGATATATTGCATCTTCAAAGCAGAATTCAGTAGGAAACATCGAGCTTGCGTGCCGCTCTCCGATGGCCAGTTTGTGATAGGAAGAGTGGGTCGTTATTATGTGCTAGTCTTTATTTTGCTATGTAGACAATTCGTTGCTGTTGTGGGACTGTTGTCGTATTCTAATCCATATTAGTTTTTTACCTGGACAGTTTTTATCCTGTTATTTTAAATGTTTTTTTGGTCCTAAACTACGTAACACGTTTCATAAAAGTGGAAAACACTTTCAATTATTATTCTAGATGCTAGTAATAATTGCCGATAATAATTTGATTGTTAACGAACGTTCCTCTAATGACCAGTTGTGTTTCATGTAAATTATACGGTGCAATCATTTTTAGTTTCTTGTGTCTCCAGAATTGTTTTAAGACATTTCTTGTAGGTATTATTTTTTACTTTGCGACTGTTTCTTCTTTGGCGGCTGTTGAAAGTATATTGGATACGTTTCCTGCATTGTTTTAATTGCTTTATGCATTGCATTTTCATTTGCATGACAAACTTCCATGTTTTTTCTGTATTTTACTTCCCAGTAAAATACTATTTAACCTTGAGTTTACTGAAGGCTAATTAGTGAACGCGTAGCGTGGCCGTAACAATAGGTTGCGCTCAGCAGTGCATTTTCTGCAGGCTGCACGAGAGCTGTTGCTCAGAAACGATATTTTAATCTATTTTTATTCCATTCGAAAAAATTTATTTTCCCCCAAATATATTGTGATCAAAAGTCCTTTAAAAAATAGTTAGGTATTGTGTACCATAACAAATATCTGTGCGCTGCTATCACATTAGTTTAATATGGATATCCATCCGCTCAGGCCATCAACATGCAATTGGCTTGGATTTTTTCTCGCATGTCATTCTTGTTCCAATTGAAGCTGATCCCCGTTGTTATTGGCTTCGCATATTCAGTGATAGCATCAATATCGTCGCACACCGAGAGCTTGTTTTGATGTTCTGCAACTTACATTAATGATACTAAGCCGTTCGCAGCAAGTGCCCGTCGCCGACAGTTTTCTGCCGCATCGGCTGTCCCTTCATCACTTATGTGCCATATATTTACTATCGGTGGTCACATCTAACTTTCCCTCGAAATACAGCATATTCCTACCTATGTCTTTTATCCCAGCCTTAGGGACTCAAATGATACCCTTTGTCCTTGGGATTAAGCCTTAAGAAAAATTGCTTCATTAATGGTTTCGGATAATGAATGATTTTCAAAGGTGATAGGTTAGAACATTTGCGAGGCATCTTGTGATAGATGGTAGGATGCATTCAATTGTGACGCTTCATTACGCGAATTGATGATGCGTATAGATGAGTACCGGCTACTGATAGCTTGATGAACTTAAATGAACATAACTATCGGTACGGCATAAACATGACACAAGATCAACATTACATGAATACAAAAGTCTGTGTGTTTTGGGGGCGTTTGTTGTCTATCAAACTTGAATTACGCGTGCCTTTTTGTGGGAACTTGACTGCAATTGTTTTAATGTAGCAATTGAGCTGTATTGGGAGGTATTGAGATTTTATTATATTTTTAATGTTGCGCTGTTATTCATAGATCTAAGCTCAAAGTTTTTAAAACTTCAAGAAGTGGTTATAGACTTATCTGCATGTTTTGGCTATTGAAAATTTAATTTTTATATTAAATATAATATTTCTCGTACTAAATTTACATTTATTATCCTTTAAATGCAGTTTATTATTCCCCTTGCGTGCGGCGTAGAAATACCTACCGGGTAATTGATTTTTTTCTATCCCTAGTGATAAATAATGCTACACACTCCAAGACTTTTATCCTAAGCATTCTTCATAATTCTTTGTGTTACGTCATGTTTGTAGCAATTTCTTTGCAGGAAACAGAACTTGTTTGGATCAGACGCCTTGTCTGTCCATCATTACTCGGAATTGTTTCAGTTTGATACCGTAAGTTGAGCTTGTAATCGTATTCCGTATAAGTTACGATACGACGTAGCTGGAACTTTACTCTATCGCCGTAAAAGTGAAAGGAATGTGTCATGTAGTATTGTATTCATGCGATAAATCCGATGTAATGTTCGTCATTTCAGGGAATTGAGGTGTTTGATGTATTTAACGGTTATCCTGTAGAGTGTACCACTTTTTTTCAGAGCGGGACATTTTAAGATGCGTTGTCTCATAGGCTGGAGCTTGACAAGATCTGTCTGATCCAAGCTACCCATATTATTATACTTTCAAACTGTGCGTACTTGAAATTTATAAAATATATAATTAAAAAGTTTGCCCCGCATTTAGATTATTTGATCAATAATATTTCACGATCTGGAAAACAGTTTGGCGCAGCCTAAAGACTTTCTCCGTAGAGCGCTTCACATTTTCCTGCTGCTGTGACTGGCAGATTTTCGCCGCGTTTCATGAGGCTTATGTTGGATTTGTTTGCGTGTCGTGATGCCGCGTGCAAATAATGAATTACTTACACAGCCACTGAATCAACTCTTGAATATTCGTCAGTGCCAGAAAAATATCAAGCCATCCATTGTAGAAACCCTTGGCAAGGACTTAGCGCAATGGGAAGTGATTCTTAAAGCAGGTTGTGGGCCTTCAATGGACGTTTCTTTCAGACTAACGAGGTAATTTTTGTTTAATTAGGAAGATTTGAGCGCTTCCGTACGGTCATGATGACCTTTGAGGTGGGCCAAAGACTGATGAGTTTGATTGTGTTTGTTTCTCTGATTTATGAGACAATCATATTTGATCACGAGGATTTTTGCCCATCCGAAGAGACTGATTTTTTCTACCATTCACTTAATTTTACTTTTTAAGTATCCCTTTTTTTTCTTAGAGATTCTCCCCTTCTAGTTTTTATTCACTCGATTAAAAATGATTCAGTTTGTTGCTTGGCTCAGAACCGTTTGCTCTGATGACTTTGGTTCGGGTCCCTTTCTGCTACGAGGGAGCGCGACGCAAGACGCCTTCTCAAGCTCGACCCCTCATGCGGCGTGTCGGTTCTCAGATTCGGAGGCATAGCATCGGCCATGACTTGAGATTACAATCCGGAAATATCACTGGAAAACAACGTCTGTTTGCGTCGGAACACAAAGCTTAAGATGTCTCATTAGGTTGCTGCTTTGTCAGTCATTTGTTCGGCTCGATCTTTTTAAGCTCTGTGAATGGAGCCAATAATGAGCAGCCTAAAGTAATGTTGTATTGCTGATGCGCTCGTTTGTAAGTGTTCTGACATTGGAGAATTTTAGTCCGCATTAATAAAAATGAGCGACAAATGTTTGTGTCGTTATGCGGATGATGGCGACAAATGTTTGAGCAACTAGAGTAAAAGCAAATGCCGAGCGGTTAAAAGCTTATGCAAAGCATCAGTGAGCAGTCGTCGGAAGAAAATAGTTCTGTTTATCTTGCCTATATGTAGGCTGTACCAGTATGCATGGATTACTTTTGCGTGAATGATAACCATGGACGAAAAAAACTTTTCGTCAGTGTACTTGAAAACTTATGGGCTTGAGATGTCGGAGACTTTTTTTCTTTTAAATGGAAAAGAACCGATTCGAAAGGGAAAGGAATGCGACTGAAAAATTAGTTTTAGTAGAGGTCATAATGAAATGATGGGGTGGCTTAGGGCCAGCTTGGGCCTTGAAAATATACAAGAAGAAATTTTCTGAGCTTCTATATTTTTTCTCTTGGTCCAAGCCAAAGTGCGTAAATACGGTACGCTAATTATTTATACCACTATTTTATTTAATCAGAAGGTATCGCACTCTTCAAAAATCCAAACATTTAAAAGTTTCTTTTTTAATGTTGAATCGTTGATTTTTTCTCGAAATATGGTGTGGTAGACAATAATCTATTCTTGCAAGCATTTCATTTGAAAATCATTAAGGAATTAAAGGTTAATAGTTTTAGGTTTCATTGGAAGGTTTGCAGCTTTCGCCGCGCTACCTCTCCACGACACAAAGGACGCGCTTGTTAGGAGACGCGGTAGCTTCGCTAACTTGTCGTCTAAACCCGAAGTGCTCTCGTCCTCGAGTGTCGTCCGCGCTGACAAGAGGCGCTCTAAGCTTCCACAAAACTGAAAAGCCTTTCATTTTTGACGGACAGCCTTCATTTACGAGGACGTTTGATGTTTTTCTTGAGCAAGAATTTGTATTGCAAAGCCGCATTAGTCACTAGGGCCGCTTGTGAGATGTTTTGATGTAAAAGTTATTTCAAATTCACACTTTTGATAAGGAATGAATCCACAAAATTCGAATTTATAATCAATGAAAGTTTGCTTTTAGATTGAATTTCATGTGATATTACAAAGAAAACACGAAGCATTCATTCTTTTTCTGCCAACGAGGTTCTTTGGTACTTCGAGACTCACAAATTCATTCATCAATGGTTTCGATTCTGAACGCAGTTCAATGCATTAGCACATTTTGGTTCTTTTGATTGTCCGACTAAATATAGAGACCTCTGCTAGCTTTTAGTAATGGCTCTGGTATAGGTCGTTTTTTGCAGCTTGAAATCAAATGTGCCTGAGTTTTTCTTTGATCGCTGAAACGCAAAATGATTTTTAATGCACTATGCAAGGATTAAGCAATATCGAAAGCCTTTTAAGTCCTTTAGTGTGTGACGCGTCACTCTTGCAAACCACTTCCCGCCTTTCAATTGACTGAAATTTGAATGTTTTGCCGATGAATTTGTATTTGCTTGCTGATGCCCCCGCTGACGAGTGTTTGTTTGGAATCGAACGCTAGCCAAAAGCGTTGACGTAGGAAAATCGATGGGTCTCACGGTGCACATCCGCGCTTGTGTTCATTGTGCCATGTATGGCTGTATCACCATACACTGCGAGTCTGCAACTCAATTACAGCGAAAACACATCTGAATTCACTGCAGATGCTGCAATCAAGTTGACTTGCTGTTTTAAGCAGTTTTTGGAGCTCGTGAAAGATGTTAAACGCCTCAGCTTTAGATTACGTCCATGATTGTATAGAGAGGTTGGACTGCTCAGTGCTCACTTACCTAGCGAGGTCTTGCTTCCCATCACGGAAATGACCACCGAAATGTCGCCTAGTGTTGAAGTCATTTGATTCTCGCGGCTCAAATGCCTTTTTCGGTCAAGGTTAACTTGAGAGAAAAAAGTTTTCAGCGTCATAATTGCATTTGCTTGCCACTGATTCAACACCACAATTCTTCTCTGTGTCTAAATGCTAGGTATGAATTTTCACTTTAATATGGTAATCATTTCGCCATACTTAAACTCCAGCTGGTAAGTCCTTAGACTCTACGAAATGCGTAACTTAATAATACAATTTAATCATGATTGGTTTAATAAACTTGCAGATGAAACAGTGTGCAGTGAGCTTGTAGCTACTACCTATTGTGTGGAATAGCTGATTATCCCAACACGACGGTAGTTTTAACGCAAGAAATAAAAAAATAAGATAGCGTAACTTGGTGCTGCATTAAATGAAATAATTTTCAAGTGTCGCGTACCTTGAGATTTTCTTATGGAACTATTTTATTTTTATGCATGCTCTAAATTTTTTGAATAAAATCCACTGCCAATTATTAGGCGTTGGACGAAGAGGTTAACAAAAACTGGCCGCTCGCCATTTTGTCTTTTGTTTTGGTGTTCGTCATTTTAATTTCGTGAATAATTTATGATTAATATCAAGTTAATATCAACAAAACTGAAGGTCTATTTGGAAACTTCTTCTGTCTATAGAATATTTTTTAGATTTAATGATGGAAATGTGACCGGCTATTAAATGTCCAAACATCGTTACGTATCGTGTGAATACCCAGAACGTCTATTTGATTTAAATACCTTAAACGCCTATTGGATTTAAACACCTTAAAGGCAAATGGGATTTTCATTCACTGCATTTGCCTGTGCAGATTCTGTTTCAGTAATGGCTTGACTCCAAGGAAGTCTCTCCTTGTAGGGAATGGTAGACCATCTGCAGGAGTCGTAATTTGCGAGTGGTTTCGAGTGCGCTTAGTCATGTCTGCTGAGTGGTGAGCGAAAATACGCCAGATAACAAGATCTTCCGCCCTCTCTATTGCGCCACTGATGTCCGTATTATTCTTAGTGCGAGTACAATTACGAAGGTTACTGAAGAAACACTCTTTTGGAATGTTGGATTTATTTTAGTTTAACTGATTGAAATTAAATAAGGCAAAAAGGAAAAAGTGAAGTATAATATAAAGCTGAATAAAAAAACGGAATTAAACTGAAAAACATTGCATTAATGTTTAATTGAATGGAAATAACAATTTATAAGAATTCCCACGTTTATTACCACTCGTCGAATTGAAGTACAATGAAGATAGGGTATAAGTAATGAATAAGAAAATCTGTCATGAAAAGTATTGTCATTGACCAACCTTGTCAGTACGGATTGCTCAACTTTTTCTCTTGATGTACTTTTGTCGTAGCCTCGAGGCTGGGATAAATTGCTCCATAAAAAATTAATCAAAAGTATTGAGTCGAATTTCTACAACTAATTACTTTAATTCCTCCTACTAATGACCTGAGCGGATGTGAAGGTAAACATAGAAAGGCCTTATGCGTACAGAAGCACTTTCTCAGCTGGACGACGAGGTCTGGTAACGATCGAGCCTTGAGGGAAACTGCTTGCCTTTTCTGGCTATTCGCTACTTTTCATAACATAGCCAGCTTTGTGCTTTCATTTACTATCGCATCTTCTAACTGAAAACTAGAAGCTGCCATCAGAAAAACAGTGTCTGTAACAGTCTCTTCTCCTTCGCTTATTATCATCGGCCTGTTGATGAATATCTTGTTGATCATCTATTGTTACTAAATTAGCATCTCTCAAAATCTGTAATTTTTACCATTGTTCTGTTCTAGCACATGACTTGTAAAACAGACTTCAGCTGAAATTTAAAGACTGGCGTGCCGGAGACTGCTATAGTGAACGGCATGGCAAGTCGGCAAAGTGTCGACGCTTTTGCTATATTAAGAAAAATAAACTTCTGTTATACAGCTGACACATTTATCTGGTATCATCATCGACACTATTTTATTCCTTGCGTATAATTTCGCAGCCACGTGCCATAAGTGAAAGGATTGGATGCTCCGAGATGCGAGGCAGCCTTGCGCCTATTTTTTCGGTGTCGCATGGCACTATTTTTTATAATACTGCAATTTAATCAAGTTTTGTGTTGTATTTTTTGCCACGATGTCACACTTTATTCGTACTTCTTCTAAAATTTATCGTGACGAGACAGGACAAACATTGGCCGAATCGATACATACCTTAAATCCAAGTTGGAAATACGCTAAAGAAAATATCATTCGCGCAGCTCCAAGAAACCATTTATGTACGTTTATGCTCTATTGATATTCTGATCTATAGTTACATTTTCTGTGATAAAGTAATTATTTAGTTGCCGTAATTTGCATTTAAAAGTTTTAGTCCTTGCATGTTGGAGTGCATTATGTTTACTAGTGCAGTACCAGTGTATTCTTTAACTAGTGTTTTCTCGAATTGCATCAAATTAAACTCTTATAATTCTTCCAGATGACAGTGCGTTCTTTCAGCTAAAAATTTTTCTATTTCATATCAGTTCAGGAAGAATCATTAGCAGGACTAATAGACAATCGACGTTTTCTTATAGGTGCCGTTTATGCTTCAATATATTATTTTCAGCGAATACTTTGCACTTGAGAACTACTGAGGCAAATGTTCTGCGAACATTAATAGTATCACTTATGAAAGGAACGCTATCGTTTGTTAATCCCTGACTAACATATATTTTATTGTAAAGTCTAGCCATCAAAGTTTTTTTTTATAAAAGCCACATTTTTTCTTTCGTTTGTCATGCTAGCGAGGCTGACTTTTATTATTGAATTAGACAGTCATAAATTCTTGGTCCTTAGAGCTTCTATCGTGAAGCCCTTGAATCCCAAATAATTTTTTTAAGCCCTCCTGTAAGGGCTTTTGACCGACAGATAGATTGGACCGACTCCGCACCAAAAGCACTGCTTGTTTGCGTTGCGGGCTTTGAATCGTGTTGACCGTAGGAGCGATTGAGGCTCAGTAAACAGCGTAGTTTGAGAGACGCTCGCGAGATGATATCGAAAGTGGACGCCTCAAATAGGTGAGAAGACACCGCAGATTTCCTCTTAAGGCAAGCAAGACCTTGCCCTGCTCTGTGCGGTTCTGGCGTGGTCTTCGACGATGAAAGTTTGCTTGACTTTTACAAGAGGAAATTTTTATTGCCCTGTGCACATTAGAAGGCTTAAAATCAGAGCTTATTGAGGACTCTAAGCATTGACTCTAATCAGTCTGTGCTGGCCTGAAAGTGTGAAGTATTTATCATAGCTTAATGCACGATTAGGCTCATTCGGTGACCTGTGTTGAGGGTACCGAAGTGATCACAATCGAGTTGAGCGCACATACTCGCTCACTGCTCGGTATTGTGATTGTAATAAATGCATTCGCGCTCATGACGATGCTCAGAGGAATATTGTTTGCTGTTCGAGCTCTGGTGGTCATCAATATTGGTGTCACCTCACACGTCATCGCTGTAGTTAGTTTGCCTTTCTCTGGTATCGTTTTGCCTGTTAATTAACACAATCTACAGAGGAAACAAAGACAGCCTCTAGAAATGTTTTTCGTTGGCCGTGACATGATGGATCAAGGCTGAAGAGAAATGACCGCTCCTCTCATTAGGGAAAGAGTTAGACTCATAAACTACGCTAATATCGGCGACGTTTGACTTGCATTTTTAGCCAAATTGAGTCTAAGCGAAAGGGAGGGGCATATCTGATCAATACATTTTATCTAGAATAGAATAGAAGTGTCGGCACTGAAGAATTAGGCCCGTGTCCTGCTGCAATTTCCTTTTGCAATTATTATTATTGTAGCGTTGCTATTGGAGAGTAGAGGGGAATAGAGTTATTACAATTTCGGATGAAAAATGTTCATAGATTCGTCTAATTTTATTTCAATTTTAGAATTATGAAATCGTCGTAACTGAGCAATTAAGAAACAACGTCAAGGAAATCGCGTTCACATTAGCGAGGCCTCAAGGCGTGCCCAGGATTTACTTCTGGTCGCGCAGTCGCATCATTCGTGATTTGCACTTTTCGACGGCCTTTCCTTTCCCCATGTCTAGAAAAGTCAAAACTTTTAATTTTCGCTCTCGAGACTCGCCTATTTGTGTTCACGCACGATGCCCATTGCTTAGACACACCTTCCAAATTTGCATTGAAATTAGGCTCATCAACCAGCGGTTCTTACATGCGCGTGTAAACTTACCGAGAATCGTGACGGAAGATTTCGGGGTCAGCAATGCTGACTGAAGGCGGTTGTGTCTGCCTAAATGAACGACGGAGGCCCTCTGTTCGAATTATGCTTGCGCAACGTGACGTGGTAATTACCGTGAATTTTTAGTAACAAGTTCTGTCTAGCCCCATATCTACTGATATGGGGCTAGACATGACTCTCGTCATGCCTCTAGGCACGAATGACATCGACAATATTCATTAATCCGTAGATAATTTGTTAAATATGTATTCTATTCTAAATTTTAGTGATGAATGTTCCCTCCCAGATTTTCATTGAGTTACATGATCCTTAGTTATGTGACCATAAATATTTATATTCAAAATTTCACTGATGAATGATCCCTCACAGATTTCCATTGTGTTACAGGATCTTTATTAGTATGTGGCCATAAAATATTTATCAAGCGATGAATTTAATCTGAAGTATCTTAATCATGAATAAACTATCTTTTGTCGTATCTACTTGCTGGGCAATGATAGATTGGTAAATCCTTCGAGATATCCGCCAGTTTGGATTTACAGAAGTCGATCTTAAGGATTGATGATCGAACATTCTAGCTCATCAGTTGACCTGTCCATGCAAACTCCCACACTTGACGCCCGTGGTCGTTAGCAGGAACAAACCATGTGGCTAAATCAGGGACGAACAGTCTAAGCAAATAGAGATGACAAGCATATTGGTGCTTTCCTCTGGGTATAAGAAGCTCTTTGGTTTGCTGTCTCATCAGTCCGTCGTCAGGCGCCTTCCCTTACCCTTCCCAAGATCTTGTTCTCTTCCGCTGCTCAGAAGCTTCTGTTAGCGCCACATGATCAGGATGAAGATCTTTTTGGTACGTCGGTGAAACGGTATCACAGCTTCTATTTGGGCGCATGGTTCCTTTGAGAGTATCTCAAAGGAACCATGAAACTTTCTAAGAACCATGAAGTTTCTAAGAACTGGCGTTCTTAGAAATTTTACTCGCTAAGGTAGAACTTCGCGAACTTTATTTCTTAGAGAGTGAAAGTCTTACTGTCGCTTGTTAGCACCTCATCACCGTTTACGTAAAAATGTACGGGGAAAGTATATTTTTTGCGGTTTATCTGGAATTGCTGAAAACTTACATGAATGGTGAAGATCCCGCAAGTAGAAGCCTTTGTGATTTTGCAGAAGGATCTCAGATTCCAGGTTGTGTCATTTTAAACTTTCATCCCCATTTTTTTAAATTAAAAATTGTAATAGCGTGTTTTGAATAGGATTTTTTGGTGATCGGGTTAAAAGCATGTAAACTCGGCGATCTGTAATAATAATAATCACTGATGAGAGTCTCTCATCAGTGACTATTTTGGTGCTTATAATTTTATTGGACATTAATTTACCGTACTTAACAGCCAACATCTAACATGATAATTTGTTTCATGCATCGCAACTTAGCTGTACATTTTCAATATTGTTTATTTTAAATAATTGGAATATTTAGTTAGAAATTGATCATTTATTTTCATGAATATACGCAAGCAAAAAATAAATATTTCGTATTACATCTAATTTATACGATGATTGTTAACTATAAACTTAGCAAACCTAAATTATTATTTTTTTCAATTCAATTTGTATATATAACAGCAAACCATTTCAGCGATTATTTTTTTGCAACTTATAATTTGTATTAAAATTATCTAAAAAATATATGATAGTTCAAAATGAACATTTTCTACAGGTGCTTACAACATTGCTCTACGGAGCCCTAGCTGCCGAGTTGAACCACGTGAACGGATTTAAGAACTTCCAGCATCAAGGACCATCCCTTGTCTATCAAAGTCCAGCTCGCCAAAATCAACAAGACTTGAGCGCTCAGTTTGATTCTTTTCAGGCTTTTCAGCCTCAGCAGCCTGATTTTCAGGTAGAACAACAGAGCTTCCAGCTTCAGCAGCAAAATTTTCTTCCGCAACAACAAAATTTCCAACCTCAACAGCAAGCCTTGCAGCCTCAGCAACAACACTTCGAATCGCCGGAGCAACCTCAGCAGATAGTTTCAGAGGACGTTCGTTCGTCTTCATCAGTTGGTGCGGCAATCTCGGTTGATAACATTCAACAATCATCTGTTGATGAGCAGCCTCAGGTTACGAATTTTGACCAGGGTTTTGCACAATCGGGAGACCTGCAGATCATTGGAGTGTCTTCTAACCTGGCATCCATCAGCAATGTCCAAAACTCCGTTCAACTCCAGCCCGTCAGCCCGTCTCAGAGTCTGGACATCGTCCCTGCCAGTCTCATGCTGCACATGAACGATGAAGGGGATCATAGCAGCGTGGCAAATGATGTGCTCAATGTCCAAGAAGTCTCAACTTCTCAATCATTTACTCCCAACCACCAAGAGAATCAAAATCTAGCAAGTCCTCAGGTGCTTCCACGAACCTACAAATCCCCGCAGTTGGTGCTGGTCAACCAGGGTCAACAGCAGCAAATTAACGTTCCCCAGACGCTTCCATTTATATTGAATACCAATAATGTTCCCATTAACAACGTTCAAGAGCCTGCTGTTGAACAGAGACCTGAAGTGTCAGGCGTTTTCTTCGAGCAAACTATTCAGTCCAGCCCCCAGGTTCAGGATGAAATCGTCCCTGATCTTCCACAACCCCAAATCGCTGAACAACCTGTAGAGCAACCCTTTGAAGTCATCGTCAATGATGAGGAGACGACCGATAGTCCCTCCGTAGCCACACATGATACTTTCAGCGAAGATTTAGTTGCCACGAAACCGCTGACGAGACCTGAATTTAAACCTACAAGTGTTGCTCGCGTTCGTAAAATTGAAACAACACGTTGTGGTGATGGCCTACTTGCAGACGCAAGAGGTGACTGTGTCGAACCACAAATCGTTCGCAACGTGTACTTATATGCCGCTCCTAAGCAGGAACGCAAATTCAAAACTTTGAAGTCCGTTCCTAAGCCTAAGATCGAGTACAACATCGTGTTCGTGCGCAGCCCAGATAAGGACGCCCTGTTCAAACCACTGGTTGCACCAGCTCCTCAGCAGAAGACTTTAGTATACGTTCTTAACAAGAAACTTGCAGCAGAAGATCAAGATCTCATCGAAGTCCCGGTGCATCCTAAACTTGAACCTGAAGTTTACTTCGTCAATTACGGGGAAGATGAAAATCCTCAGCTTCCAGGCGGCATTGATCTGCGTACTGCTCTTAGCGAAGTGGCACTGGAAGGAACTGTGATCGGAGATGCGTCGGGTTCGCTCACCCACTTTGTCGAATCAGTCGATGCCCCTGAAAGTTTCGCTGTCGAAAATTTAGAAGTTGTAAGGCAAGAAGATGATGCGTCTGCCGACAGTTTTTTCGTGGCCACGGCTGATGATGACATCGATGTACAGACTGAAGCATCTGAGGAAGGATACAAATATCCTGAGTCCTCTGGCTTTGAAGTGAGATCTTCTATCAACAATGGGAATGAACAATAAAATTTCGCCATTGTGCATCCTAAATCCTTAAAATAGCTTCAATAGAGATATTTATTTTGTCTATGATTTAATGGTAATTTCTTCTCCTCTGTTCTTAACTGGAATTTAATAATGCAAATTTTTATTTTAATCTATGGTAGAAAGTAGAATAAATAGATAGTACCTGTATACGTGCTTGTAAAACCTAAAATGTTTCAGAACAAATTTCAACAGAAGCCATTGACTGTATTCCAGCAAACTCTTAGGAATAAAATAATAATGGTTTTACGCCAGATCCATTGTAATTTTGAAATTTTATTTTTTAGTGATCAATGAGGATTCTTCTGTATAAGTTACCACAAGATCAATTTTTCTAGCCTCCGGAGACATTGGCGTTTTGAAAGTAAGATTTTGATAGTAAATTTTACATGTAGTTTTTTATTATGATTTGCGCCATATCATTTCGATTTATTTTATTTATGCTTTATATTCAGCTTTCGTTAAGGCACGAAAAGTTCTTTTATGTTCATTAAGCTCAATAGTTTTTAATCTCATGGCAAAAGGAATCGCAGCTTAAATACAATTTACATCTTAATTACATCGTGTATCAATTATCCTTTCGTGGTGGTCATGAAATGTGAAATAATTCTGACCATGCTTTTTGTGTACTTTTTGTTGACAAAATGATCAAAATCTTCTTTCTTATGATATCTCTACCCAATTGATGGATGGTCAAAAAATGCATTGTTCCCATGCGCAAATGCGCTTTCTCAAAATTTCACGGCCTAAATTCCAATGAAAATCTCACTGAGTGAATTGCTTGAGCAATATTCAATATCATGCGCATTAAAGCAGTTATTCCTCCAACATAAGTTTTCTTCTGTGCAACGAAAAAGGCAACGTTCTCTTCTCTCGGTGCATATCAGAAAATGATGAGATCCAACTTTACCTTTCATTGGTATCAGTATGCTAACAGGAGATCTTTTATTGGTTTATGCATATTTTTGTTCGATAAAAGCAATGAATTTTTTCACAGTTGAATCATTGCTAAGCATTTCTTGAAATTGTATATAAGGTTTATATATTTTCGCTTACTTGATCTTCGTCCTCACTTTATCGCCTATTTCAGGTTGCGTAAACATGTGACGGTTGAGGGGCATGACTTTATACTGCAAAGTATATATCAATCGTCACCTGAAATAAAATGACTCGCCAATCTTTGACGTAAGTTTAAGGTATATTTACTATAAGAATATAATGTCTGTCATCAGATCATCATAAGTTTTTCACATAGTACTATATTCAACGTTCGGATTCATTTTCACTTTCCAGTTATTTGTTCTGTACCCTTATTTTTCAAAGATTGGCAGCTAGCTCCCAATACCCTACTTGGGTCACAATTCAAGTTTGACATGGCTATGAATTTTTTAAAAGTAATTTCTATGACCATTTAATAGACATGACTCGGCCAATGTCTAAAACTATTTTTATTCATGGTCGCCTAGAGCTCCTTCACTTCAATCCTAAGATGATACCTTCTAAACGAATTGAATATAACATTTCATATCAAGACCTAGTTCTTTTATTAATCAACTATGTTATAAGAGTTAACTTATAATACATATTTTTTATTCAAGAATAAAACTGCACTAAATGTAATTCATGTGAAATGAAAAATCAGTTACAAAATATCTAAATATGCAACAATTATTTATTAAATTGTTATTAGCTTATCTCGCGTTTTACAGAAATTTCACATTTTATTTTTGTTCGTTTGAAGTTTGCCATTTCAAGCTGCTTAATTCGGATTTAAAATCTAAGGTGCGGTAATGATTTATGATCCTGTAGCCTTGCTTGGTCATTAGCAATAATTTAAAGTACCTCTGTATTTATCAGGTTCTAAACAAAAATCGTACCTCTTCTATTATCTTATCAACATTATTTCCTGGATACGCTTAACCGTTCTTTGCTGCTCAATAATTTTTACGATTTTCCTGATATGGAAATAACGACAGTCAGGCGTATTATTCAGTCAGACTGATGACTGATGCTTTTTTTGTGTCAGTCTCTGCCAGCAAATTCAATACCATATGAATTAAGGTGATCCTATTCAACATAAATTCAATGAATTCCAGAATTGTCGTTTCCGCTCTAGGTTTTTCATGTAGGTTTTTATCTTGGGGCCTTATAATCTCGTTCTGGGATGTGACCCACATCAATGACGGTGATACCCGTTCTAACTGGGCACGTGTACCGCCGTGTCAAGGTGAACGCTGGGTGCCTGTAAAGCCGCACACTCTGGCATTCACTGCTCAAAGTCCCCTAAAAACGCAAGTTCTGGAGTCTTCGTATTCTGCAGTATGTCTTAGTTCATCAAAATGTTTATGTAACAATATTTACATCGAAAGGTAAGATTCCCAACAATTGTTATACGTAAAATCCAATCCCCATCCCCAATAGATGGTCCAATATAGAAGCCTCAAATGTGTAGCGCTAATGGCTATGCTGGTAATATATTCCGTTGTAGATTTATTGAGTCATTTAGACTTCCATGTGGAGGAAGCATAAGGCCACCCATTACCCGTAATTAATTCTCACTGCAAATGTCAAGTTCAGTATACTGGTCTTTTTCATGCCAGCTTATCGTCGAGTCAGCTTCCTAATATGCGCCTTATTTATCGGAGTTGTCTAAGGACACTGGAGACGCAGTATGGTACTATATAGTCTTTATATTTTCTTGTAAAATATACGTATCTGATGCGTTGCTGATGATTGTACCTATTCTGTTCTTTATACATATTTGACTGTTTTAGGTATATTGTTCGTATACACCGATTTTAAAAGCGGGAGGATCAAGCTGAAACTCAAGAGGCTAATTCTTCAAACAATGGCTTCAGTTAATGATGTGCGTTTCAGCATATACGTATATTTCAGCGTCTCAACTTCGACTTCTCGACTCCGTTTCTTGCAACTTTACAAATCGATGTCGGGTCAATTGTACACTGGAATTAAAATAGTTGCTTGCTAACATTTCTAACCATTGAATGCAATTTTTACCTCAACTTGTATCTCCAGTAAAAAAATTTAGGCTCCTTAATTGCTGGCAAGAGAAAGTGAGCCGCGCTGCGCAACTCGCATCAACTGCAAAAAATGTCACCTCACGCCTCGTTGTAGCTAGTAACTGCCAAACGCGATTATATTGTATATGTTTGCATTAGATACTGTAAATTCTTATCGTGAATTCATCATGAGTATATGCCTCCAAGATATGATAACGAATTTTCGGAAAGCGTCTTTATAGAACATTACTTTAAAGAGACAATAATGGCTACTTCCAATAATGGCTGATCTTCATTAATTGTAAGATGGCAATAATTTTTACTGAACAATATTCTTGTGTAAATTATGCCAGACTTTTCTAGACGGAGCAGAAAAATGAATCGGAAATAAATCCGCATTTTCGTGACCCATCGCTTTGGCAAGCTGAACATAAATGATCCTTTTGATGATTGGGCGTTCGGAAATAATCGCGAAGATCAAATGTCGCCGCATGAGCTCGAAGTTCACACTCCATGCAGATGGTCATGCCGGTCTATTTGTGCGTGACGGGGTCTGCTCAAGTTATTATTTGGTCGTGTTTCGTGACAGGATTTATCCGACGTTAGGAGTTCACACCTGGGAGGTTTAGCGCTCTTTTTAGCGCATTTTCTCATTTATGGAAAAATGCACTATTGTGCTCGTCATGTCCGGCTGTCCGTCCGTCCGTTTGTTTGTCTGTCCGTCCGTCTGTCTGTCTGTCCGTTCGTCCGTGATTCACGTTTTCGTCGACGAGAAAATGCGCTCTCTGTCACTAACTGCAGTGAGTACTGAGTAATATTTTTTCATCATACACGAGACTTTAAAGTGCGACTCAATTAGTGTTTTTAAAATCAATTCGGTTATTTGAGTTGAAAATTGCATAAAATTACATAAAAACAATACTTAGTAGAAGAAAGACATGTAATAGATTTTCCTGCTTCAGCATCACACCATCGATCGAGCACACCAACGTATTTTTCACCCTATGCTTCAAGAAGCGGATGTAATTCTTGCCCATAATATATGATCAGGTGAATTTGTCAGCAGTTTTTCGAATTTGGTATTGTAAGCCCACTTCGCCATCATTCAGCCTGATGCGGCTATTTTGACTGCATATTATTTCAACAAGCCAGTGGCTTTAGACGTAGCGAGAGCTTCTTTACTCCATAAAAGCCAAAACAAACATGAATGTCACCGCTTCCTTCTGCCCATGAGCTGAGAGATGCTGACTTCAAATGCCACTTGAAAACATCACGGCGCACCTGTTTTCAAATAAAAAAACCTGAAGTAAAAATAATGTGGAATAATATGAGAAAAACGGACATGATTTCGAGTAAAAAAACTGGATATGATTCGGACCAAAGAGTAGCGATATAGATGTATTTTTCATATTTTTGTGTGTCTCGTTGCGTTCAAAAATTAATCAATTCAGATTTAGTCTCATAAGTTAAAAAATTCAATACACTATTAATGAGTTCAAATTCAAAATTAAACTAGAATAATGTACCAAGATTGAACTCTTATGAATTTAATTGGAGCTCAGAGTTAATTAGTTTTGTAATTAATATTCATTTTATGCCCGAATGATGCAGTTTATCCTGAAGTTCATTATCCATGAAGTCATTATCCTGAAGTTCCGATGCCTTGAACTCCATTTAATTTCGTCAGATAACCTGAGAATGGCCAGCGCCGCTCAGAAATCAGTTTATATCTCACGCAACTTTCACTTGCTGTGAAAGGCTTCTAAGGTTCGATCTTGGCATGATAATATGAATGCGACTGCAGGAGATTTTTCGGTATAAAATATTGAGAGAAGGACGAGGTGCGAGGTGACATTTCACGTCTCCCCGAGACAAATTCTTCTGCTGGAACATTTATTTTGCATATTTTTCAGCTGTGTGGATGACATGATATATTATCACATTATTTGCTAACATTTTATTTAATTAACTTGATGAAAATTTATACCTATTGCCTCATGTGTTACTATTTAAATTCCTTTCACTTGATGGTGCATTATGATTTTTGCAAAATTAGACATTTAGTTGAGAAGTTCAACATTTTTTTGCAGCTTGTTAGGATTTTAGTCCAGTTTTTAGAAAGCAACTCTTCATTGGAATATAAATTTGTAATTGAGACGGGTATACTTTCTTCACGTTTCGAATTAGAACAAAAGTGAAACAAGACTTGTTATTCTCTATTTTATTTTTAAACTAGCTGTCGGTTTTAAGTGCAGTTCTAGTTGAGATGCCATACCCTGGAAGTTGACTGGGCAGGCAGAGAGAGAAAGGCTGGACTTTCCTGCCTGCGTGTGCCATCTTGCCGGGCACGCTTGTTGTGCCCCTTATTGTTGTGCCCCTCCCAACGTCTGACCAATTGTGCCTTACCAAACGGCAAAACATATATGATTCACCTGATCGTTTTATATCGACCAACAATAACCCTGAAATGGTGATGAGCCGTTACAGGTAGTTTTGCTATGACAAAGTGTTGTTCAGTGACACGCTATTGTGTCATGAC